ATCTGGTCTAAAATGTTTGAGACGGTTTGTAGGTTGGGCCTATAACAACCCGCATACCCCAACCCAGCCCGCACAAACATGTCCTGTAATCAGTCGGAATTATCACCTTCAAGTGCCTCCCTCAGATTGCTTAAAGCACTCCCCTCAACATTTGAACCTACATTGTCCATGCTAGCATGAAGTTGTTCAACTATATGCTCGTCAAAAGTAGCCTGATAGGGAAACGGAAATAAATATCTTTTAGAGTGCACTCTTACACTTAATTAATATCTTTTTTAATCAAATAATCTCTATAAAATTAAAGATAAAAATCCAGATTCAATACTCACGTACTTTTAGCAATTTTCTCTTATATATATATATATATATATATATATAGAACAAATATAAAGTCCAAAACTCGATCCAAGTATAACTCAAGAAGTATAAATAAAAGAAGTAACAAACAATGCCAATCAAATTGGGGAAAGAAGAGACTTGGGCGAAAGAGATAATCTACAACAGCACAGGGAGTAAAGTCAATTAACACGACATAAAAACCCAAAAAAGAAGAGACTTGGGCGAAAGAGATAATCTACAACAGCACAGGGAGTAAAGTCAATTAACACGAAAAAAAAACCCAAAAAAAAAAAAAAATAAAAAAAAAAAAAAATGGCCACTCACCCTATTGATGTGTCCAACAACATCTCGGTAATTTACTAGAACAGAATAACCAAGTGTTGAAATTCAACATTCTAACCAGGAAGACCGGGTATCCGTGAGAGGTCGGGATCAGGGTAACCAAGATGGATTTAATCTTTCTCTCTCTCTCTCTTGTTCCTTATTTTTTAGAGATCCCTCTTCTTCCTTCGTTATTCTTCCTTCATTCTGATGTGAGGTTGATGTTGTATATGATTTTATTCTCATTTTGGCAATGAGATCTGGGTATCGAAAACATTGTATGATTTATTGTTGAATCTTTTAGAAGATCCTTGATTTTGTGTTTGTTGCTTATTATTTTTTTCAATTTATTTATTGTTTGCCACTGTGATGATAAAGAGAATTCAAGAGCCCCGACAATTTCTCGTGATTGTCCGTGTGACTGAGGTTAACGAGCTTTATAAATCAAAATTCCTTAATTGAATTCTTTTAATCGCCAACTTTAGGAAAAAAAAAATCACCAACTTGTTCAAGTGAAGGCTCAAATCAACCACCTACAATGTTTTAGTGCAGATCCCCAATTTCACGACCAACTAAAAGAAAATTAGTCTGTTTCAATTAATGCCAACCATTATAATTAAATGGCCTATGCCCATTATAATTGTAGAAGTAGCAACTTTCAATTGTTTTTTGAAAAAAAAAAAAAAAAATTGGCCCAAAAGCCACATTTTTTTTTTTTTTTTTAAAAAAAAAAAAAAAAATTGTGCCTAAGTACCAACTTTTTTTTTTAATATCAAAACATTGTGCCTATGACAGAAGGTAAATCAAATAAATCCCTTTGTCACAATCAATCATAACCCTTTTAATTGTTTGTTGCTTATTATTGTTGCTTACAAGAAAAATCTTTCCACAATTATTCACTATGTCATAATAAAAGATTGTTTTTATTATGTATTTTGAGCCAAATGCTTACTAACTCATCAAAGTTATACTTTTTCTAATTCCAATTTAAATTTACTTATTTTGTTATTTTATTGTAGGATAATGGCTCGCTTATGATTAGCTAAAAGTGAAACTTTGACTTGTGCATGGTTTTCGGCAAAGATCGTGCAACCGGTAGGAGTTTCGAGACTGCTGCTGATGTAGTTGAGGAATTTGAAAAAGGAGGTGACATCATTAATATTGATGATGACACGTTCAATAGCATTCACAATATGGTGGGTGTGGATGAAGCACAATTAATATCTTTCTCACAAGCATCGGCTATTCCTCAATCTCAATCTCGGTCTCAGGGGTCTTCTAAAAAATAAAAAGAGTACAAACAATGCATAGGCTTATGAAGCCATTAAGGAGTCATCTAGTTTACTTACTGGTATTATTGAAAAGGCGTTTGAACGTTTAAGTCGCACTATCGGTGAAGACATGATGGAAAAACATAGTTGGCTTAGAGATGAGCTAAAAGGACCACAACCATTAACACAATGGAACGCCATAAGGTAGCTCGCGTGATGATGAAAGATGATGCTTTAGTTTCATATTTTTTTAGTATTCCTGATGACGAAAGAGATGAGTGGGTTAGAGTTCTTCTTACTGATGATATTTATTAGTTGTTGTTTAGTTTCATGGTTGCATTTCTCTTTTTATATTGTAATGTATGTGTTATGGCTATTGGCTATTATATTGAATTGCACTAACTAATTAGGATCATGCTTAACTTTGTTAAATTGTATTAATTAGGATCCTGCTTGACTTGGCAGATGGATGTTATATATAGGTGAATCTACTAGCTATGGTGTTTGACTATATTTTGGGATTAGATGAGCATCTATGTTGTATATTTTGATGACTTAAATATTTTTATATATGTAGTTGGATGATATATTGGTTCATTTTTACTATTGACAAGGGCCAAAGTGATCATTTTACTTAATACATATCTTGATATATGCCAAAAGTGATCATATTTGAGCCAATGATGCATTCAAATACAAGTATAAAATAAAAGTTCAGTTGTTATGTCTTGCCTTGTACAAAATAAGTAGTTAATAGATTATATATGTATTAACAAACTTAAGTGATAATTTATTTTTACATAAAAATCAAATATTATTTTTTTTACCATTGAAATATATTTTTTTAAATTTTATCCTTCAAATAAAAAGTTTTTTAATAATTAAATTATTTTTTACTATTTTAATTAATTAAATATTAAAATTCTTGATGATTATTAATCAATGATATTTTTGTCAAAATACAGTTAGTTCTATTTCATTTCGTGGTCAACCAAACAACATAATCTTCATTCAGGTATTAATTTCATAATTCTAACCAAATTAAATAAATCAATTTATGTTTCGAGCACATTTAATTCTCTTTTATTATTATTCCGCCACTACAACCAAACGCACTCTAAGAGAAGAGAAAGAATGAAGTTGAAAAGTAAGCGAAGGAAAATGGAGAGCGCAGTAACATCGGAAACCAGAGAAGAGGCGGAAAATTCGACGCCGGAGACAGAGGAGCGAGTCTGATTGATGCCCAATTTGCATGAAGCCCAGTTTTTTTTGGGCAAAAGTTGGGGGCGGCGGTGAGGGTTTTAGGGTTATATGGTCTGTTTGAGTTTTTTTTTTTTTTTTTGTTGATCAAGGGGCAGAAACAAGACGGGCTCATGGTGGTAAATATAAGGTGTTAAGTTGTAGATAAACATGCTTGATTTATTTTTATGGGTGGTTCTGTACACCCATTTTTTCTCTTCACACCCCCTTAAAATTAAAATCACTTGTTATGAAAAAACATCTCTTTTAAGTGATAAAAAAAGACTATTATGATAGACTTAATAACACAATTAGTTTTTATTATGAAAAGGAAATTAATGATGTTTTTTTTTTTGGTCTTTCTACACATCCCATATATCATATCTCTTTCATCTTTCAATGACTATTATAAAAAGTTGTAGAGATACACACATGTATAACATATATATGCAGTGTGTAGTTAAAAAGGGATGTAGAGAGTAAAAATGAGGGAATATATATAACCACCTTATTATTTCAATTCTACAATGGGCCGGGTACACCTCTTTTTCCCTTGTACCCCCCCTTTTCTGCATCAATGGGGTGAAGATTGTCAATCTTTGATCATTTTTAACTGCTCAGATTCAAAAGATACACCAATCATACTATGAGACATCTACACATGATTACACTTGAAATACATGGAAACAAAAAAAACAAAAAAAGGAAAGGTTGTCTTCTCTTCTGCAGCAATCTTCAGAATAGTTTTTCAGTTATTTAAGGTCTGTTTGTTTCATATATTCAAACTTAAATCACTAATTAAATGTCAGAATTAAGAGTCATAATTTGAGTATACCTTCCAAACAGATTCATATTATGTTCTTTTCTTTTTTTTTTTTTTTTTGGACCATTGCTTAGTGGAGATTGAATCTTTCACTCATTCTCTGTTGATCTCCACTATCCTTTTAGTTTGGATCTGCGACGGAGATCTAGGTTTGCGGCTCGGCTTGACTGCGGATTTGAGATCGCATCTGGCAACTTTTCCTTAAATGAATTGGTCTTCGATTTGATATTGGCCAGAAAAAAAGAAAAGAAAAGAAAAGGTTGTACAGAGATTGCAAACTAGGGTAAAGTAGAAGAGACTCATGTTGTATGCTTTCCAAAAAAAAAAAAAAAAGTCACATCGTTGAGATTAAGAGAAATGGCTCACGGACCAAACGGCATTGTCCAAAACCGATTGGAAAAACGCAAGGGTGGTCACCAAACCAAAAAATTTAGTCAATGATTGAAACTGATCGGAAAAACCCGAGGGCGGTCATAGCACCAACAAATTTGGTTGGTGACCGACCGTTGTACAAATGGTAAGAAAATAATCTCTCGGTACATGCAAGATTATTAGTTACGTGTATTATGCATTCTGAGGGTTTTTAAACTCATCAAATAATCATGGCCAGGCCAGGGATAAGGATAAAAGATCAATTCATTTTAGGATCTCAAGCCATCTCATTATGACCATCTCAGCGTCTCAAAATGTTTCACAGCTATGACACATGAAATTGATACTTTAAAAAAAAAAAAAAACAAAAAAAAAAAAAAAAGCGGGAACAATAATTTGAAAGTAACAAGAAGACATAAGAGCACATTCTTCACCTAATCACATTCCTAATACTCACCGAGTTTTAAGAAAGGCAGAGTTAAAGTGCTCAAATGGAATCAAATACCATCAGGTTCAAATGAGTACCATTTTTCGATTAAAGTTCGAAGCAAAATCAAAATCTCAAATGGAATCAAATACCATCAGGTTCCAACGAGTACCATTTTTCGATTAAAGTTTGAAGCAAAACCAAGATCTCTCGAAATACTAATGGCATTTGTTTAAATTCAACCGCAACTGGGAAACGAGATAGAGACCCATACATAAACAGTAAGTTCTTTTTTCGTTTTCTACAGGAACTAGACGAGACAACATTGATGGCATTGCGGTCATCCTAATTACTTTCCACAATAACCTAGTACTAAAGTTTTGATCAACATTAGAAATACAGCTTCCCGCCATGTCAAAGCAAGAAGCACGACAAATATCGCAGATTAACACACAGACCATCGCTACCATTAAAAGGTTAGTGATTACAAACAAGCCATTGTAAAAGCAGATGAGATTGGGGTCATATCATAATATCAGTGGTTACCATCTTCAATGAGTAGTCATGTCTATCGGTAGTAAGCCTGCTGATAAGCTGGTGCCATGCCATTGCCATAACCACCGTATGCAGGGTAGGTCATGGGAGCTCCGGGGTAGGATCCAGCCATGGGGGCAGCCTCTGGTGAGTAGGCATAAGGGTTTGTCGGTGGGCTTCTGCTGCCATACATGGTTGGCGGGGAATGGTACGGGGGAACTGGAGCTGGGTATTGAGCATGGGAAGGTGACCTGACAAACGTAGGAGCCGCAGGGAAAGAAGACACGTATGCATTTGTCAAGCGGCCAGCCTTGGCAGGAGGCATTGGGCCACCATTGTTCGCTCGTGTTCGTTTGTTGGCAGGGACTGCGACTGGCTTTCTCTTCTCTGTCTTACCCTTCTCTAGCTGTTCAAGGCGCTTCTTGAGATTTTCCGGAGGAAATTCAGCCTCAAGTTTGTACTCTTCTATGCACTTGATGACAGCCCGTAGTGCTGACTGCTCTTTGCGGCCAGCTAGGTGCTGTGAAAAATTTAGAATGAAAGAACACTAGTTAATCGAAGATGTAAACGTTCAAATCTACATTAATCCAGTCCACATATATAGAACAAAAAACTGGCCCAAGTTCCCAACCATTCTTACTGAACAGTAAAGAACCGCCCAACAAAGCAACCATTGCAGTTCACGCACAGTATTAACTATAGTAATACTATTATGGTCCTGGATCAATAGAACATAGAACCTAAACATTAATCACAGTTTGTGACCACATCATGGATGGGCTGAGTTAAATTATGTATTCCACCAAATTAGCAGCATATCAATACCCAGAGGCCACTTACACAAAAAGTAATAACCACATTAGAATGAATAACTAAAGGCCCCAACCATGTATGTTATACAACTTGCATAATTTGCAATAACTAGAGACTACCACATGCAAGAACATACAGTAACTAAAATCTATCGAATATCCAAGAATGAAAGAACAAGATTCAGCATAGGATGTAACAACTGCTTTATATAATTGGACGTAATGATGAATAACATACCACAGATCGGCCAATGTTATTTGGATCCTCCAAAATGGAAGCTGCAGCCTTCTTAGCATCCTTCAGAAAAGCTTTGAGCAAAGGAACAGGAGGAAACTTGTCCACAAGGCCAACTTCATACGTGAAATGTACAGCATCAAGCTGCTGTCCTTTACTAATGAGTTCTTCAATCATATCTGCGATAACATCCACAAGGCATTAAAAACTCCACTGTAATTCCTTTAAGCAAAATTTATAATATAACATGTCTAAAATCCTACAACACCGATGGAATCTCATAGCAAGGGGAATTATGGAGCAGTTAAGAAGCATATAAAATCGACAGAACCTACATCTCATAAAAGACAAGAAAACAGTTGCAGAAGAGACAAACAACACAACACAATGCAACTACAAACTATAATTACCCCAATATCCTAGAAATTGTTTTGATGCTCAAACACAGAGATGGAGTCCTGGTAATGTATGAAGTAAAACGACACATAGCAAACACGAAGAAGCCTAAGGTTACGTTTGTGCATGGTTCAAATCATGGATTTTGATTCTACTACGGTGTTTTTTCCTCACAAAAAATTTCAATTTCAAAAGTCAAAATCATGGTTTGAACCCATGAACCAAACGAACCCTAAGAGACTTGTAGCCATTCCACTTAATACGCTCATGTATTCAACATTTTCAAGGAAAATAATCTCAGCAAAAAAGGAACGAAGCTAGCAAAGAACACCATCCCACTACTTAAAGCAGTAATTAATCAACATCAACTCAATAAATCTCCAGTTCAAAACCCAGAAAAGAAATCTGGCATAAAAGCACCCGAAGCAATCCTCTCGCAAATCACTCAGTTAAACATGGTTGTAATGCATTTATCTAAACATAGCTAAAACGTTAGTCTTGAACTTCAAGCAAAACAGAAATGCTCCTTAACAAATAAGACAGATAATGTTTGTTTGTTTTTTCATTTTTTTAAACTTCAAAACCCAAATATAGTAAGGAGAAAAAAGAAAAGACAAAATCTCGCAGACGAACCAGGCATTTTATCAGAGAGGCCAAGGGAAACAGCGAGCTTAGGCATTTGCTTCCTCCACGCAGACCCAACCACGAGCTTCCTATACAAATTCACGTCTTCCTTCTTCACAATCCCGAAAGTCACCAAATGCTGGAGAAAAGTATGAACATCCGGCGTCTTCACGTTCTCTATTCCCCCACGCTCTTCCAAGCTCGCCTTCCAAGTCTCGGCGATCTCCTTGGCCCGTTCCTTCACGCTCGGCGTCACCAGAAGCCTCGATTTTCCGATCACCGGGTCGACCACCACCGGAATCAGCGACTCCAGTATCAGAACGCAAGCCCAGCCCAAGTCGTTCCCTCTCTCGCTCTTCTCCACTCTCTTGTCCACCGGAAACACCTCCGATATCGCCTCCAACACGAACTTCGCCGGATCGACGCAGTCCGCCAGCGCCAGAGGCATCTGAGCCCTAAGCGCATCCAATTCCTTCTTCTTCCCCGTCACGAACCTCCACAGCCCTGAAGAGTCCATCCTCAGAAGAAAAGACTTGAGCTTCAACAGTAAACCCTCGCCGTCATCAACCTCTCCATTCTCGTCGCCAAAAATCCTCTCCATCGCCATTAACGCCACCTCCTTGCTGACCTCAACCTTTCCGAGAGCGATCTTGACGCTTCCTTCGATGGTGTTCTCGCGCTTCTCCAGCTCGTGGAGCGATTCCTTGGTCTCGTTATCCAAGGTCTGGATTTTGCGCTTCATAGCCTCGGATTTCTTCAGGAGGTCCTGCTCCAAGGACGTGAAGTGATCGGAGAGCTCCTTCCACAGCAGAGTACAGCTCGTCATCAGCGAAGTCTGCCTCTGGAACTCGTCGAAGCTCGGCGGAGTCAACTCGGTCAACTCTCCGGGATCGGGGATGGACCCCATGGTCGTCGTCTTGGGAGAACCTCAGTAGCCAAAGGAAGAAGGAAGAAAAGGGAGCAATCGAAACCCTAGAATTGCAGCATAGAGAGAGAAAAAGGAGAAAGAAGAACAAGCAAGGGATAAAGCTAAGCAAAGCCGAGGAAAGACGAAGACATTGAGATGACGTGGACGGATAAAACAGCGACACGTGGGGCGGCGTCCTAAATAAAGTTGTCACCACTCTAAAATGCGCCGAGGGTGCGCAGAGTCAACACGGGAAGTCGCTAGAGTGAGCACATGGTGCGACAGTGCGCAGGATAAGGATCTTTATTTTTATTACTATTTTTGTTTTTAATTTTTGAGTTTGTTTAGAGGTAAAGCTAAAGCGCGAAATGATGACGTACGTAAGGGAGTGTTTGGGTGATGGTGTGAAGTAGAAGCACTTTCCCGGAAACCGATGTTAGATCAGAAGGGGTGGGAAAAAGCAAAAGATGGAAGGGGGGGGAAAAAAAAGAAAGAAAAGTCCAGAGAGAGTAGGGTGGGCCAGGCCCACTGACCACCACATGGGTGAAGTCAGATAAAGTAAAGACATTGGTGGGATTAGTATTTATCTACACACTGTCTAACTCTTTTTCCTTCTCTCATACTGATAATGTAGAGGCATGCGCTACATATGACCATTAATTCTTTTGAGTGTTACTCACTATTCATCTTTCAATATAGGTGGAGTAGAAATTTCCACATAAGACCATGGCTATAATCAAATGCAAAACTGACCCATAAAATTGATACAAATGTAACGGTTCAAAATAATACTCAATTAATAGTCATCAAATTCTTTTATGAACAATTAAAATGGTATTGAATTTAAATTTGAGTTGTGATTTAAATTAAAACTCAAATTGTTATTCGAACAGATGAAACGAACGAAACAATCATTAACACAATTAGGACTTATTTAGTTCGTTGATTCGAGTTTTTAATTCGAGTTTAAATGTGACTTTATGTGAGAACTTTTTACTATAGTAAAAAAATTAAATGTGACTATTTTTAAAACTTTTTACTGTAACAAAACTCGAATCACTGAAATAAATGAAACCTTATAATATCCCGCCACAAGAAGTTAATTAAATATAGTTTTGAATATTCCTATTTATCTTATATAAAAAAAAGTATTCCTATTTATCACTGTTAGAAATGCATCACCCACATGTGACAAAAAGTAAAATCAATTAGAGTCTTTCACTATTGCCATGTGACAACTCGGATGGTTTGCTACGTGGATGAGATTGCATCGCAGTGGATCCGTAATAATATTTAGCAAAGTTTCATTAATTTTAATTTTAAAAGAGAATTCTGTACTAAGAAGTGAAAAAAAAAAAAAATCCTTTTAATAAGATAATAATTCTTGTCCGTTTGAATTTTATCAGTTATACTTTTTAACTTTTTTAAAATAATTTTGTACTCATATGATGTAATTTTAATGTGACATCTCACTAACAGGACATCTTTTTCACACACTATTCTTCAATGTTGTAAGGTGTTGAGTCTTTTAGACCCTTTCGGGCTGTCTTCTGGTACCCTAAGGAATCTGCGTCACAGCCGTCACTTCATATTTTTCTTGATGGTGTTTTTGGAACTCCCTCCTTCAGACACTGTTTCAGCTGGGCCCACACACAAAAAAATAGGAGTGGGTAAAGTTGCCGGGCCCAGTTGAGCCCATTGGCTTTGCTCCTTGACACGTGACATAACATCCTACGAAAATAATAAAAAATAGACCAATATAAAAAGTTTAAAAAAATATGTAGATAAATTTTTAATTATATAAATTAATAAGTCATAATTTATCAAATTATAATTTATAACCATATAAATTATGAATAAACTTGTCAAATTATGATTTATAACTAGATAAATTATTAATAAAAATTATAAATTATAAACAATAACTTATCAAGTTATGATTTATAACCAAACAAATTATGAATAAAAATAATAATTTAACCTATTTATTAACTTATGTAAATTATTGATCTATTAATTTTAATTCACAAAGTCTTAGCATATTTTTCTTTTTCTCCCAACATCCTATCCCCATCCTATCCCCATTGGATTCTTGGACCACCAATGGGGTCAACAACCCAAATGATTAATGAACCCGAGGAAAGGATTAGCTTCTTTACCGCCACTCACATTTCTAAAAAAATTTCATTTTTCATTTCATGGCTTCAAATTTCTACCAAGCAATAATGGTGCACGCACATGGGATTCACTAATCAAATTTGAAGTTGGAAGACAAATCAATGTACCATCTTTTCAGTCTACAGTCTTTAAGGTTTGAAAAGTAATAAACAATGCCTTATTATAATCTAAAAAGATGTCACATTAAGATTCAAATTTGATAAATCCTAAAACATAACCCAATAATGAATTCCTAACTTATTCCTAATTAATTAACTTTATGCCAATTTAAAGAGAATTTTTAGTGAAGAAAGTTATTTTGCTCCACTGATAAGAATTATTATTTTTAACCGTTGCATTAATTTTTTAACAATCAGATCTATACACATACACAAAATTTACAACGTGCGATACATAACTACGCCTAATGCAAATCAAACTGTTACAAACTAATCCAAATTAGAACACAATTCCCATTGTGGGAGCAAAATAACCTTCACCATAAATGCATCAAAAAAACTATAGCCCCGTTCATTTCACCGATTCGAGTTTTGCTATAGTAAAAAGCTCTCAGAAACAGTCACATTTAACCTTTTTACTACAATAAAAAACTCACGTAAAGTCAAATTTCAACTCAAATTAAAAACTCGAATTAACAAACTAAACGAACCATATATATATACATACTACTATACATGATTCTTCACAACCATTCCAATGGTAAAGAATCTTCTCGTTAACCAAATCAACTAGATGTACAACTGTAAATACAGGAAACACTAACAAGCTTCTATCTACTCTCTTACCAAGCAAGCAATCCTTGAGCACAGCTATAGGCAAACTTTTCAGGAATCAACTCCTCTTAGCCCCACCCTACCCAAGATATATTTTAATATACATGTATATATACACCTATCACACACATATACATAAATAAATACTATATATTAAAATGGTATATTAAAAAAAAAGATGAAATTGTGATAATTGCTTTGGGTTCAAGAATGCTTGTCAACCCTTTCACAAACAAAAGATGATTGCCAACCAACGACCGGTACAAACTGAGATATATATATATATATATATATAAAGGTAAAAAGGTGTGAATTTCCTTTATGTTCCCTCGTGAATTACTCCTAGATTTCTCGTTTTTTGTTATGAGAACTTAAAAGTTTTGTGCAAATTCCCAATCCAAAGTCGTCTCCGGCAAATACTGAATCAAGAAACAAGTCTTGTCTGTAGAAGACAACAAATGCCATTAAGTTTCCAACAACAATAGCCAGCACTTAATGGGGCTAAGAGTCTCATGACACCAACTGTTGGCTATCAAATTACATAAAAGCTTCAGTCACCTACCAACAGGCAATGCCGCAGAGGCCCACCAAAAACAACTAGAAAAAGAAAAGCACCAGACAGTGCTTAAACTAAACGTCAATGCGAATTAAATATACCATGATACCTTGTGAAGCCCAGATCAAAGTCTATTTGGATGCCATGTACTCCCTCCAGCTTTCGATCACAACCTTCTTCTTTGTCTCAAAGTCAACTTTATCCAGATCAGTAGCAGTTCCAAGATAGCCATAAAAAATCCGCTTTTTCTCCCGCGTCCTCTCGTCGAATTGCATGAGGTGTGGATTGTTCTCATCATCCTTGGTGCCAATTGTCAAAGGCTGTAGACGGGCCCACGCCCTGCGTCCACGGTTGTCCTGATCGAAATGTTCCGCCAAGCATATGGCCTCCTTGAGGCCTGCTTGGTCAGAAGAGAACTTTATGAGTGTAATACCCAAATGGCCATCTCTGCCATACAAGGACTTTGACTTCCCTCCATGGAATCCAAGATCTGGAGAAAAAAAAAAAAAAAAAAACCATGATACCAAAGAGAGAACTTGTTAAAAAAATGGACTTCCCTTAAAATTCTAACGCAAGGAAGCCCAAAGGGTTTCAACAAATATCTATCTGCATAGTGCATCGGTTCCACATTATTTTAAGTAATATATCTCCAACATCCCGCACCAATAAGGGCCTCAGATTCTCCAAAGGGGAACATCCAAGCCATTAGCAAACGTTCAAAAATAGTGCGCACTACTAACACTGACTCAATGCAAGGCTTTTGCATGGTTCAAACTACAAAGGAAATAAAATTTCTCTAACCAAAACAATAGTAATCAATAGCAGGGCAGCAAAGCAAATACTGACTAGTGGTTATAAATCACAAGGCCAAGTATAATGCTGTTTTCTGGCATCATTTAAGTCGCACACCCAGGAAAGAGATTAAAAGTGCTGGTGCAACCTTGCAAGACACAGGGTAATTTAAGGCAGGAAAAGTAAGGCAATCTTCCCTACAAAAAGGTCCTAGAAGAAGAAAATGGGGAGAAAAGATCAAAACAGAAATAATGCAAAAATCTTACAATCATATGCATAAACCCCCATCAAATGAACAATTAAACGTTAAACTAACAGACCTAATGTTTCAGAGAAACCCCCACTACGCGATAAGGGCATGAGGGGTGGACGAGAGCAAGACAAGAAGATAATCAGTATCGCAACTAGAATACAGAGGGGAAAAAAAGAAAATTCCCTCCCTGACCAAGTAAAGGATGAAAATAAGATGTTCTAACTTCAAGGTGATTCACAAGAAGCAAGTTGCATTAAAAAATTTACCCTCAAAAAAATGTAAAGTGCTCTTCATGGAAACTCATTCAACTAGGCCTTAGTCCCCACAACCAGTTTGCATGCTTCGTATTATGCTCCATCAAAAGACTCGTCTATCCTTAACTAATAAAGACCCCTGAAATTCAGGGGCAGAAATTCCTCAAAACTCAAATATACTTGCTGTAAAAAGAGACCCTAAAAAGCAGAATATAAGGATTTGCTATTAGTACGTTCACTCCTTTTTTTTATCCCTTAATCAAAAAGTAGCTCAAATGGAACAAGAATCTTCATCTTCAATTCTCAACTCGGAATTAAGTGAACTATGTCTTTTGAGCAAATCAACCAAAAACAAATTCATAGCCTTATGGCTTCTTATAGTTCACAAGTATAAATAAGATAAGCAATAATCTAAACAATAAAAAGAAGCCATAAGTATCAATAGGATAAGCAATAATCTAAACAACGCGTAGGAGTTGATGGTTCTGTTTGTGAGCATTCAACACGAGTTTATTTTATATATCTTGTCAAGGACTCGAGGCTAACTAGCAGGCGTTGTATAATAAGCTCCTATTTTTTGTCTACTTGAACAGGCTCTAAAGCTCGTAATAGTCCCTGCCGTAATTTCGAAGCGGGTGCAGATCATATAACTGGATGGCTTTGTCAACTGAAAGCAATTTTGCCAGAGCATCAGAAAGGTTACTGTACCCAATCAGAAGGTAAGGGTCTAGTATAGTAGACGAGCTGGTTTTTGTACAACATCAAACCTAAGGCAGTCCACACTATTAGGGAGTCTAAAGTTAAGGGCTTTGTTTATGGACACTCTCATTACTTTCTTGGTCTACCAGTTCCCTATCCTTGAATCTAAACAACTAATTCCATGAGGAAAGTATTGAAAGAAGTTAAAGAGTCAATAAGGGAACTGCATAAGCACCTTTACTGAACTATTCTCATACTCTCTCAAATTACTAATGCATTTGATCATCAGATTCATAAAATATGAACTTGAGGGCAAAGTTGGAATGATTTAAAATGATTACTTAACCTCAATTATCCAAGAGTGAGACAACATGGTAAAGGCATTCTTCAGAAAGATAGGGTTATATACCAAAAATTGCTCCCTCCATATACTAGACTAAGAGACCACTAACTGTTAAAGATGGATGTAGTTTAGTATTAAACTAAGGGACATTAACTATTTTCAGATGCAATAATACTTTCTTGCTTAGAGGACAGCCCTTCTGCAAGGACAGTTTGACGCTTTAAGAATAGAATGAAAATGCACATTATACCTCTAATTCTGGCATCCATAAGTTTGTTTCCCAAACCTTCCATGCGTCCCTCTTTGTTCTTCCCTGTAAGTGTATTATGTATTATCACCATTGGCGGCCAAAGAATTAGATCATCTTGGTTTGCTGCTGCTTCATCAGCAGAAAGAAATTGATATGCCCTTGAGTTATCAGGAGGTCTTGAGTAGTTCCACCCCATTAAAACACAAAGAGCTTTGTGCAAGCCCAAGTGATCCACACGCAAGTCATCATTATCGTAGTTGTAACTGTGCGTGATCAGACTAGGCGTATCTGGAAAATCTTTAGAAGACCTGAAACGTTTCATACAAGGGCATTGAAGAGCATATTTTAAATGAAACCAAATCATGAGCCTATATGTCAAAATATATGGAAACAAAGGCAGTGCGTTCACCAGTGTAAGGGTGTGTTCAAAATTTTGAGAGAAGGAAATTATCACCATCAACAATATTGCAGTTTTTCATCAAACTAGCTAGAAAATATCAAAGTTAATATGTTGCAATGCATGAGATAAAAAGGATTTGTATTGGAATGCAACAACAGAAACCAAATCCAAGTTTCCATAAGCAACCAAACATATAAATTATGGCAACAGAATTCCAAGAAAAATGTATGCAAAGGAAAACACCGAAGCAACTTTACACACTTATAAACTTGCGATTGCTTTATCTTTATCGTCTTGCAGGAAAACTCTTTCCTAGTTTTCTCCTTCAAACAATACTGCATTTATGAAGCTTTTCTGATCCAAAAACTATCAATACACACAAAGTTCAAAACCAGCTTTTCTGGAATCTGGATCACTACATTCACTTATTGAATAATTTGTTAAAACTACCCAACCCAAGTTCAAAATCAAAGCTTTTTCTTAGTCCTCAAATTCCATAGATCCCTATGGCTCAAAATTGAATTTGGAGAACCTAATATATGACAGCAGATATAAGATTAAAGAATAAAAGTTATCACAAGCCAGGCAACGCTGCTCCTCTAAGAAAAATATGAAACTTCTGGCAAAACCAGATGGTTAACCGTCTTCCAGACTTCTAGTCTAAGACTATCCTGGTGTTTAACAGCCTTACAAACACTATTAAGCTAAAACAAGAACGCAGAAAAAGGGAAGTGTTTGTACAAACTTTCTGAACCAATGCCAACTAATAAAGTGGAATAGAGAGAAGAGCTAGATCCAGGAGCAAATGGTGCCAGACCTTGTAAGGTAAATGATATGTTACAAAAGATAAGTACACAAAAGCAGCCCCATCCAAAACATGTCTGGCTGCAAGCATGTCATTAAACAAGATAATTGAAGACTTTTAAGCAACAAGTTTCATAGAAGGTACATAAATGTTTGGTAATTGGGATATGAAGGCAAACGCTATTATTTGTAATTCCATTTATCCTGATTGTAACCATAAAGAAATCAAATGAACTGACACACAAAGAAGCTTTCTCCGTACACCACTACACGTAAATCCTAACACAAAATACAGATGCATAACTTCACTACATCTTGAGCACCTGAAAATTCCAAATACATTAGATTTGCAAACCTTTTAAACCTACTAAAAGTCTAAAAGGAGAAAAGAAAATGAAGCAGTTTCCATGAATCAGAGACTAGAGAAAAAAAAAAAAAAAAGCCACAGGTTAGGGACAGTTGTGATTATAAGTAACAAAAAAGAAAAGCAGAAATAAAATCCATAAAAACAAGTAAAAAATATATGTATAACAAAACAGCCCTCACTAAAACTCCACAAGGTACTTTCATCAATGTCTCTTACCGTCTTACGTCTTTTATGAGTTATGATGTGGGCCACACGACCTCAACCTTATATGCTTTTTTGATATTTAACTTTACAGGGCCCACTAAAAAATCAAAAGTGCACAGCCCAACAGCCCGTTATGTGGGGCCAGGTTCAGGTCAACAGATGAAAACCTCACTGCACGACCTAATCTGAAAAATTACACAATTTTGCTAGGAAAGGAGGACATCAACCCATGGTGTTTGGAAGATGACTAGTGTATTCTCTGGCAAGGCGGAGCATCAGTCAGATAAAACAAAATCACACACTACTATACATATTACATACCCAGAACACTCATATGCATAAACGTCTCAGGAGGAATTACATATGCAAACATCACATATATATGGTTAGTACGGTCCCCTTTTGAAGTAAGATTGTTTGGGAAACTCAATTCAGGCTCAGATGATTTTTGGTTGATAAACGCAAATCAAACCTCAAAGCAAGCTCACCCAGTAAGCTCTGGGCAAAAGTACCAAGTTGTGGATAAATAACGCCCAAGAGATACTATAGTTCTAATTTTTGTTACTGCAGTGTTTACATCTAACAGCAATATATATCTAACAATTAGCAATTTTGAGAACCTATAAAATTTCACAAGTTCACCAGAGGTTAAAAAGGAAATTATGCTGCCAATTACTGAAGTTGAAAAGTAATAAGAGAAGATCGACCAACAATCATCCCAAGATGATTAGCTTTAATATGGAATGGCATCCTTCTACGTCAATACATAAAAGTATTCTTTGGGACCAGGATTCCTACCATTTTCTCAATGTACCTATATCCTAGCAAATAATAATTGTTCAACATGGGCTAAAACATAAAGGAAAATAAAAAAGAGAATACAAGAAGTACTAGGCAATCCACTACACACATTAAAGAGATGCCTACGTAGAAAAGACACCATCAGAACTGAAAGAAGGCAACTAAGATAAATATCGAACAGTCCTCTTAAGTACATTTTTAGTTGCATGCAAAAACACAGAACACTCTACATGAAAAGAAAACCTCTCTTCGAGAAGTCATAAAGAACTGGCATAAAATATCCTATTATTGCTATTATTGCTCAGGCAATAATGGGAAAGGAGTCATGGTTGTAATACACAAAAGACCAAACAACCAAAAAATACCAAGCAAATCTCAAGGTTCAATGAGTTGGAAAACGCACCAAAAGACATGATCAAAGAAAGACATTTTGAGAATTGCAATCAATAAGGAAACAAAAATATTCCCCAGCAATGGGAACATGAAACAAGAAACAAAAGGCTTCCTCAATGTGGATGAACTTTAATAAAAAGAGGCCATTCATTGTATAACACCAAAAGAAACAAAACTCAATGTACTCTCAAAATCCACTAGTTAAGGAAAAATAAGCACACACAAATCAATAAGGTTGGATAGAAAGTGTCTTTCCTATATGTTTACCAAACCCTTTACACCCCGCTTCTCTAATGTCTATAAGATGACACAAGAAAATCCTAACACTTCACCTTTAATCTCGTAGAAACCCTCCTTTCCCCAAACACTATGGCTGAAAAGATTAGACAAACTTATCTGAAACACATTTGTCATAAAACCTGAAATTCCATTACCCAAACAGCTCATGCTAATCCCTAAAAAATAAAAACCAACGGAGATGTTCAAATTTCAAAAGAATATAAACTTCCAAGTTGCAACAACCAACACTCATCACCTCCAATATCATGTGATGGCGGACACCAAAATTACAGAATCACCCACAATGAGACAAGTTTGTCAATTTCTAATAAAATCTGAATCATACTGTTAAGTCCACATCTCCATAATTTCAAAGTCACTCCTGCAGAACAAAGTTGACCCACTTCACCCCCCAACATACGTAATGCTCCTTCCATCAATCATTAACAATCATTCCAAACTTATATTCGATAAACATATAATTAATACCCAATCCACGTATATAAAATGAACCTAGGACATCATAACACCATAGTAGCCATTTCCATCATCTTACAAGGAAAACCAAAAGTACAAAATACTTGAGGTATCCAGCAGTTAAAACCAACATAGAATTAAGTATAAGGACTTAACCATCTACGTAATATCAGAACTTAAATCATCCAGTCACTCGGCAATGGCAAACGAATGAATCGAAAGACAAAATCGCCTCATTCCAACTCTAAAACCTAATTTTGGAACTAAATAACCATCCCCAAAAGACAAAATCGCCTCATTCCAACTCTAAAACCTAATTTTGGAACTAAATATCCATCCCCAGAAGAAAATTCCTCCTAAATTCTGTGAACTGCACACACCAAAACACACACTATAAGATCAGAAAAGCACTCAAATCCGAGGATCATAATTTCTAAAACTATCACTTCATCAACAAGTAGAAATAATACGAAATTTAGCAACTTCAAAGGAAACCCAAATCCAATGTATGTCAAACCTGCCACAAGCAACACACTGAAGACGCTTTCCGTTCTCGAAGTAGATCTTCCTCTCTTTCGCGTTCTCGTTGAGGATCTTCACGAATCGAAGAAACGCTTTCTTCAGCTCAATCTGGTCAACGTCCAGATGCTTATGCCCCGGATTATAATCACCACCGCCACTACCAGAGCCTTGCCTAAGCCCTACATTATTATTATTATTGTTATTGCCATTATCAAAGCCCCCAACGGTCCTCGTATACTTGGAAGCTCTCGAATCTTCGCCGTAACGCCTTTGATCCGTATCTTCCTCGTCGGGGAATTTCCGCTTCGCGGGCCCGTCGAGACCTAGGGAATTCCAGTAATCCTGGTGCCGGTTCGGCCCCACGGGGCTCACTGGTCCACCGGGAAAAAACCTCGCGGCGGGAGGAGGAAAATCTTGGTAATCCGGAGGGAGGGCGAAGTAGGAGCGGACACTGCCGTCGGCGAGGACAATTGTGCGGCGCTCGAGCATGTGGAAGCCGTAGGACGGCGACGGCGGTGGTGGCAGGCCCAGAGCGGGGATTGGGCCGGCGGCGGGGGTTGGGCCGGGCTTCGGGAGCTGGGCCGGGCTGCGAGTGGTTGGGCCGGGCTTTGGGGAGGAGGTCGCTTTGGGTTTGGAGACCTTGGGATCGGCGGAGACGGGTGGGTTTGAAGAAGCGGCGGCGGCGGCGCTGGTAGGTTGTTGCCAGCGGGATTTGCGGTGAGAGACGGCGGAAGATGAGGATGGCTTGTGGGACGAGGCTTTGGAATCGGGATGGGTGGATTCTCCGGCCATGGCCGGAGATTCAGAGCTAGGGTTTGGATTTCTATAAATATATATATGTGTGTATATATATACGCATGAGAATTTAGCAGAGGTTGTGCGGAATGGTGGAGGAGAGAGAGGATAGGAAGTGGTTTAGAAGATGATTTTCTGTTCTGTTTGGGCGGAAGAGGAGAAATTTCCCGGGAAATGAAAATTTTCAGGGAAAGTTTCTTGATTTTTCTTTTTGTTGGCTGAATAAATGCCTGATTATGATATTATAATATGCGCCTTGTCATTTTGAGATGAAAAAAAAAAATAAATAAATATGCGCCTTGTCATTTCGGCCCTGCCCGAGCCTACCCGGCCTACTTACACCCCTACTCTGCACTGCATTTTAGTTGTCGTTTCAATCTTTACTGTCAACTTTTCTTGATTGTTGCGTTTTCCGTTCGTCGTTCTCATGTTTTTGAGTTTGTTGTCGTTTTCCTTATTGTTGTTCTGAACTTTCCCATCTATTGAACTTTTCTTGTCGTTTTCTACTTACAGTAATTTTTATTTTATTAGTAGTTTTTTTTACCATGTTTATACGTGGTACTTTCTATTTGAGTTATTAAGACCCGTTCTTTTCGCTGATTCGAGTTTAGAATTTGAGTTTTGCTACAATAAAAAGCTCTTAGAAACAGTCACATTTAACTTTTTTGCTACAATAAAAAATTCTCACACAACATCATATCTCAACTCAAATTAACGAACCGAACGGAAAAAGCATGACATGTATTTTAGATTGTTATAAATGTATGTTATTAAATTGTAAATTATTATATATATATATATATAAATATAAAAGAGAGGCATCATTCAATGAAATTGTGATTATCTTTGTATAAGATAAAATTTTTTGAAATTCTCTGTATTATAAATATGAATATTTTATGATAAGTATTTGTTGGTATTAATATTTAATAGTAAATTATAAGCTAAAAATCATAAATTTCTTAATTATGATGCAGTTACTGAATTTCATATTGTAATCAAGAAAGAGACACGAAACGTTGTGTTATTCCCATAAGCGGGCAAACACATGAATATTAAGTTTAAGAAATGAAAAAAAATTGAAAAACATCAATTCTAGGGTTTTAGAAACAATCCGAACGAAGAACGGATGAAAAGGGGTTCGGAATGTTGAACTGAGAAAATTAGGGTTTTTGACCGATTAGTGTTGACCAAGTCAAAATTTGTTGACCAATAAGTTACTCTTGAAAAGTTATTCAATTTTGAATAAAATTGACCAAGTTGACAAACTATCTGAAAAAACGCAAATAAAACGTGCATCGGATGGGAATTAAACTAAACCAAAATAAGATAATTACTAAAAGTAAATGGTTGAGATTTAAGGTGATTGGATGGAGGACTAAGATTATGACACATGGAAGGAAAGGAGAATGGCCGGCCAACCTTAGGGGAGAAACAAAGTAGATATTTTGATTTTTCTTACAAAAATGACCTTAGAAAATGTCAAAATTACACCCATATCCCCATCACTTTATGATCGGATCTATAAGGGGGGAAAATACAACCAAAATGTTCATTTCCATGCAAGAAAACCAGAGAGCACTCAGCCAAAGAGAGAAAAAAAAATTTCAAAGTGAGAAAAACAAGTTCTAATCGGAATCGGCAAGAAAAAAACATCGTTGATTCGTGTCACTGCAGTCTTCCCTTCATTTCTCTAAGGTAAAAGTTCAATTTTTCTTCTCATTTTCTACTGCAGTTGCACGTCCATGAACAGTAGAAAATCATGGAAAAAATTTTTGTTAGTGATGATGATTTGCTTATGGTTATTAAAGGGATCAAAAAACCTAATGACTAAAGGATAAATTTTTTGTTATTAGGCTATGTATTTAGTGTTTTTGTTTATAAAAGATTCTCACGAAAATGATGATGAAACCCTAGTGTCTGTGCTATTTATGATGATAAAAAAATGAAAAAGATTGTGATATGTGTTTGTGAGGTTGAAATAACGGATAACACAAGCTATGGTTAGCTCGGGAAACACGAAAAATTAGGCGGAACTCTACCGAAATTGAGTTTAAAAAATGTGAACCAATTCTAGTTATAATGAAGAATAAGAGGAACGAGATGTGTAAAATAAGTGATTAGGTGGTTGAAGATGTGTAGAAACCTAAAACGACAAAAAATTACAATTTCGGACTAAAATTGAAAACTAGATTAATGACATGAAAACTTGTATCCGAATCCGTTTAGGCTAAAGACCAAGATAGAAGCTTAATTTTAAAAAGTGACCAACATCAAAGTTGTAGGAAATTTCGTTTCGAACAACTTTTGTGAAATAGTTTTTTTTCTAAAAACGACACTAAATATCAATTTTGAGCTAATTTCCGAAACAAGTCCAAAATTGTGATTTTAGGCCAAATATGCACGGATTTGGTACACATTGGTGATGTAGAAGATGTTTCGGTCCGGATACCGAACATGAAAATCGTATATCATTTTGAGGATAAGAAGCCCCTTGAAGAAGGCTTTTCGAGAAATTGGTTGTACAATATTCTCCTAAGGTCAACTGTAAGTAGGTGCAAAATATCGCAGTAAGGAAAAAAAGGAAATTAAATAGGTTTATGAAATAAGCATGAAACCCAAGGATTTTAGACACGACATGCGCACTTCATGAAAATAACTTTTACAAAACAACGAATTCGAGTCAAATTGTAGTGTAATTACTGGTGTTAGATTGTAAATCTAACGTTCAGAAATTTATATGATAGGATCAGTACGCGATCAAAGCAGTAAAATTTCTAGTGACTCGAAATTCATGACCTTAGCAGAACTCTTGTAAGTACCAACAGTTCTTTTGTCTATGACACAAATAAGCTTGTTTCTCAGTGTTGCACAAAATTGTGCATATTGTAAGTTCAATGTATGCTAATATTTGAAAGATGTTTCTTAAATATTATTTGTGGCGATGAATGTGCTTATGGACTTAAAGTAGTAGTAGAATTTTAATTTGTGAAAAAGTCAAAAGTCAAAGTTAAAGTCAAAATTTTAAATAAATTCAAATTTCATAGAAAATTGATAGAAATACTTAGGGTGTGTTTGTAATTGGTTCTAAAATGATTTTATTTTTTTTATGAAACTGAAAATGAAAACATTTTTAATCTCATATAGAAATCGTTTCTGAAAATGCGTTTGGTAGTTTTAGTAAGAGATTGTTTTGAGTTTAAGAAAAAACTAAAACACCATTTAATTATATAATTTTCACCCACCTGCCCAAAAAAAAAAATGCATCTACCCAAAGAAATGGAAACAAAAAATGAAAAACAATTTCAAATCGTTTTCATTTTCTAAGTGATTTTACACTAAACTAAAAAATGAAATTATTTACAATTTTCTTCCCTTTTTTCCTCCATACACGTTTTTCCCCTCAATCTCATTTTTTTATCTTGAAAAACAGAAATGAAATTGGTTCCAAACACGCTATTAAATATGCAATAATAAGATTAAAATTACTGTCATGATAAGAAAAGATGATAATAAGACGATGTATGAAGTAAAGATGATAAATGACAAAAAGTTAGGGCCTTTTTAGTTCGCTGATTCAAATTTTTATTTAAGTTTAGATGTGACTTTATACGATAGTTTTTTATTGTAGCAAAAATGTTTGATTTGACTATTTCTGAGACCTTTTTACTGTAGCAAAACTATAGTAAATTATGGATAATGCCATTTATACTCTAAAGTAGCAATTTAATGGGTCCCACAATGAGTACACATTCTCTCAATATTTCTTAATGGGTCTCACAATAAGTACACCTCCACTCAAAATGTTTTTGAGTTAAATTCATGAATAGTCTCTAAACTTTTTTCTTTTCTACAATTAGTCATTGTAGTCAATTTTTCTTATGAAGAGTCCTAAACTCGAAAAATGTTGCATTAATAGTCTTTCTGTCAAAATTTGGATGGAAACTTTTAACACTGTCTCATAAAATGTCCCTAAACTATTTTCTCTCTTTAAAAATAATTTATATGTTAAAAAGAAACAATAACTATAATAGAAATCAAAATTGTAAATCTTTCTCAAGCTTCAAAACTCGCTAACCCAAAAAAATGTATATATATATTTTCCCTAAGATATAGAAAAAAATAAAATAAAATAAAAAACCCAAAATTTTCAAATCCCTTCCCCCGCAAGATTTTTTTTTTCCAGATATGCAAACCTTCCCCTAGCCCCATGCTCGTCGGCCTATCACCTTGTCATCTACTCGTCACCTCTGTTGCTTCCTTACCGCGCACACGTGACCTATCGTTGCCGCTCATTCCCTCTCCAGCCTCATTCGACTTATGCGAGGCTTTTGGATTCGACCTCAAGAGGGTTTTGCATCTTGGAATGACACTTGTTGATTTCATTGACGGTAGTTCGACTGGTGCTCAAGGCTTAGACGCTTGTTGCAGAACTAGGCTTGCCTTTGTTGTTCTTTGAATATTTTGTGTGTTTTTGCACTAAGGATTGTGTTGTTGAACTTTTAGATTTAATTTCTTTAGGTTCATATTTTTAGTAAAGAAGATGACAACATGTGTTGTTGTTCTTTAGAGATTTTCATTTTTTCTTTTATTTTTTATTTTTTACGTTTTAGTTTTTTTAGTTTTTTTTTTTCTGATTTTATAATTTTTAAGATAATATGTTATTTTTTTAAGTTAATGGATTAAGTTTAGTAAATAAAAGATAGTTTAAGGATCTTTTATGAGACAAAGTTAACGGTTTCCATTAAATATTTAACAGAGAGATCATTTATGAGATACTTTTAGAATTTATGACTGTTCATAAAAAAAATTGACTACAAAGACTAATTATAGAAAGAAAAAAAGTTTAGAGACATGAATTTAACTATATGTTTTTTTCCCTAACAATACTATTTTAAAGTCTCCTCCTTTACGCTTTAGTGTTTTTTTTTCTTCTGGTAAATCGTTTTTTACTTACGCTATTCTCCAATCTTATGCCCCATCTTCTACTAACTGTAGGTTATTTATTTCATTCTATTAGCTTATGTTATTTACTATTATTTATGGCCTTACTAAAAGTACTCCTGGGTTTCAATATTTGAAAAAAAAAAAAAGAGAAAGGCCATCTGCAATTATATATTTTTTGTTATGCGAAACTGTTATTTTATTTTCGTTTATTAATTAATTTTTGTTCATTATTAGAATAGAGTGAGAAACAAATTGTTAGTTTTTTTTTCTTGAAAAAAAATGAAAGAGATTATTTTATGTTAAGAATTTTAATCATGAGAAAATTAGAGAAAACAATATATTGATGAGGAAAATTTAGAAATTACAATTGTTTCAAAAAAAAAAAAAAGAAAGGAAGCAAGTCAGTTGTTAAAATATCAAAACATGAAAAAAGGACAAATTTGACAAAATAATATTTTAGCGGGGTAATGTGTCAAAAAAATATTAATTAAATCATATTTGACGATATATCATTTTAGAGGATGGAGTGAAAAAGTATTTAAGTTGACATATTTGAAAAAACAAGTATTTTAATAGGCAAATTAACTACCAAAAAAAATTTAATAGGCAAATTAGAGACATAATTTTTTATATAAGAAAGCATGCCAAATAGAAGATTTCTTTTTAAAAGAAAAAGAAAAGGAAAATACCTAAAAACTAAGGAGCCAACAAGTAATGTGAATTGGAAAAACCAATTCAAGCTATAAATTCTCCCTTCTTATAGACAAAAAAAAAAAAAAAAAAAAAAAAAAGATATGTGATGGCCTGAGAAAATAACCAAAAGAAGAAGAAGAAGAAGAAGAAGAAGAAAACTGCATATTCATTAAAAAGAAAAAAGAAAGACAAATTCTTAGGCCCCGTTCATTTCGTTGATTCGAGTTTAGAATTCGAGTTTTGCTACAGTAAAAAGCTCTCACAAACAATCACATCTAACTTTTTTACTACAATAAAAAGCTCTCACATAAAATCACATCTCAACTCGAATTAAAAACTCGAATCAGCGAACTAAACGGGCCCTTAAATTCCTCTCCACCCCTTCCTTCCAACGCTCATGTTTCTGCAATAAAAGAGAAAGGTAGAGAGATTTCAATCTCAACTATAGCGATGCCATGTCCCCAAATTCACCTCCATATAGATTCCCGACCTCTCCGGCTTCCCGGGACATAGTAATTTGGGTTCGGGTAAATTGTTTTAGCGGGATAAATTGCATTTCAATCAAGGCTGTAGAGTTGAAGATTCATGATTTTAGTTTATAAATTTAAAATCACGATTTATGAATTATGATTTTAATTTTTAAAATTTAAAATTTTTATGAGAAAAAAATATTTTTAAAAATTAAGAATCATGATTTAGAATCAGGAGACGAACTCTTAAAATAAATATCCTAGAAATCAGTTATGAAAAATCCAATCTAGGATTATTGTGAATAGCAGCGGCGAGCAAGAGAATTAAGGGCTTGTTTATCATTTTTTGAGTTAGGGTGACTTGAGTTTAAATCTTAATTTGAGTTAAATGTGTATTTGAATATAGTTTAAATTGAGACTCTAATTTGAGTTTGTGTTTGGATGTGCACATTTTGAGTTATGATTTGAATTGAGAATCTATTTGAGTTTGTGTTTGGGTGGGTCAAAACTTAAATTTATATTTGTATAGTATTTTAATAAAAACTCAATGGTGATGAAAAATTTTAATATGATATATAAGTGGGGTTTTATTTATCTCTTCGTTGTGAACGCATAGAAAAAAATCATTTCAATCAGAATTAAAATGAAAAAGTTATAGCACTTTTAAGAATAGAAAAAATATTGTTCATTAACTTGAATATAAGTATAAGAACTTGAGTTGAAGGGAGAACTTAAACTCAATGCTTGTTCTTTTGGATTAAAATTCAAAAAAAAATTTGAACTCAAGTTACAATTTTATTCAAGTTCACGTTCTTTTGTAAAATTTGAGCTTGAACTTAAGTTTTAACTCGCATTTTAACTTGAGTTGAGGCTAAAATCTGAGTTCAAGTTCCCCCTTCAACTCAAGTTCCTAAACTCAAACTCAAGTTAATGAACAATATTTTTTCTATTATTAAAAACACCATAACTTTTTCTTTTTAATTCCAATTGAGATGATTTTTTTTCTGTGTTCACAACAAAAAGACGAATAAAACCTTATTCATATACCCTATTAAAATTTTCTATCACTATTGAGTTTTTATGAAAATACTATATAAATATAAATTCAAGTTTTGACCCACCCAAATACAAACTCAAATTGATTCTCAATTCAAACTATAACTCAAATGTGCACATCTAAATACAAACTAAAATTACAACTTCAACTTAAGTTACAACTCAAATTCAACTCAAAATCTACACTTAAATCACTAGGGCTTGTTCTTTTACACCTAAACTCAAAAAAAATTTGAACTCAAGTTACAATTTTATTCAAGTTCGTGTTCTTTTGTAATATTTAAGTTTAAACTTGAGTTTTAACTTGAGTTTGGGTTTAAAACACGAGTTCTCACTTAAACTCAAATTCATAAACTCAAACTCAAGTGAGTTAACAATATTTTTTATATTCTTAAAAACGCCGTAATTTTTTCGTCTTAATTCTGATTGAGATAATTTTTTTCTATGTGTTCACAACGAAAAGACGAATAAAACTTCACCCATATACCCTATTAAAATTTTCTATCACCATTGAATTTTATTAAAATACTATCCAAATACAAATTCAAGTTTTAACCCATTTAAACACAAACTCAAAAAAATTCTCATATCAAACCATAACTCAAATGTACACAACCAAACAACAACTCAAATTATAACTCAAATTTAACTCAAAATATACACTCAAATTATCATAATTTAAAAATGCAAACAAACAAGCACTACATATAACTCAAAAATGCAACAAACAAGCCTCAAATTTTAACCCTAAACTCAAACTCAAATTCAAACTCAAATTTTATAAAAAAACATAAATTTAAATAAAATTATAACTTAAGTTCAAATTTTTTATATAAACATTTTGGAGGAAGAGAACAAGAGTAATTGGAGGAATTTGGATTCCTATTTCCTATCAAAGATTTCTTTTTGTTGATTTTTTCCTTTTTTTTTAACTCATAATGGTTCCTAGTCAAAATCGAGCACAGAAAAGAGTTACAAAGCAGGCCGGTTTTCCATGGAAATGTAGTAACATATTTAACAATAAAAAGACGATAAACAAAAAATTTAGAAGCCGAGCAAAACGAATAATTGCCATACTTGATTATATAATAAAGCGGGAACAAAAATATAAATCTGACCATATAAATAGATGATTAACATTAACGCCATTCCACATTTAATCCTCAAATGAAAACAAGCAGTCAATTGAAAGGAATAAAAGGAAACTTTTGTCTACCGCATAAGTGACCAAACACAAAGTTCCTTATAGCAATGGTAAAAAAGAACTAAAAATGTAGAACAAAACTTCGCAGCAATACATCTGACAATGCCAGGAAGAAACAAACTCAACGCTTCTTTGAGACACCAACAGTCTTTCCCCTACGGCCGGTTGTCTTGGTGTGCTGTCCACGCACACGAAGACCCCAGTAGTGTCGCAGACCACGGTGGTTTCTGCACAACAAGAAACACAATTCCATGGAAAAAGATCAGACAACCACAAACTACAAAAGATGAACAAACTATACCAAAGTTTTTATTGAATTCGTTACTAAAATCTACTGGATTCAACAATCAATTTTCGAATCACTATCATACTTTTTTTCACTTGTAATTCACCAATTACTCAGTCACAATCTTTCAGCATTTCAAAAGTCAAACATGTTTAATTTTAAACCGTATAATCATTGTGGTTTCGTACCTGATCTTCTTCAAACGCTCAAGGTCATCCCTAAGCTTCATATCCAAGGCATTGGACACAACCTGAGAATATTTTCCATCCTTGTAGTCCTTCTTTCGGTTCAGAAACCAGTCAGGGATCTTGAACTGGCGGGGATTTGCAACAATCGTCATCAGGGTATCGAGCTCCTGGGCAGTCAGTTCACCAGCTCTGCAGTAACACATTCAAATCAACATTACCAACTTTAATCAAGCTTTCCCCATTTAACAATTCCAGTTTATATTCACAGTACTTACAATTCAAAGAAATAACGGAAGAAAACATTCTAAATTACAATTTTTTTTTCCGGAAGTTCTCTATATTACAATGTACAGAATAGCCATTCAATTTTGTTAGCATTTTAGCTTAAAATTATTACAAATGAATTGATACTCCAGCAAATCCCCAAGGGAAAAAAAACGTTTCAAACCTTGATTGTCTAACAAATAAATTTTCCATTTTTCATAAACATAAAACCAAAACTTCCTTATGGCATAAATCATGATAAGCTTACGACATCCCACAATCAAGCAATGAAAGCAAATCAAAACTAAATACATCAGAAACAAATCTAATTACAAAATAACAAAAAAAAAAAAAACTAAAAAACACCTTAAGCATCAAGCTGACCAAAAATCAACAAACTAATCTCAGTTCTATCGAATCTTGAAAGAATAATAAAAAAATAAAAATAGAAAAAAAATGTTCTATATAGGAAGAAAGCAAACCTCTTGTTCATGTCGACATCGGCTTTCTTGCAGACGATGTTGGCGAAGCGGCGACCAATACCTTTAATGGAGGTGAGGGCGAACATGATCTTCTGCTTCCCATCGACGTTGGTGTTGAGCACACGCAAAATGTGCTGAAATTCCTCGTTCGCCACCAGAGACTGCAAAAAGCGAAAACCAAACAGAGAAACCCTAAAATTAATCGACCGCCATAGAAGACAGTGACAAGAGAAGCAGTAAAACGGATCGTAACGAGTTGACTCACCATGGTTTAGGGTTTGGTTTCTGCTCTCTCTCTCTCTCTCTCTCTCTCTCTAAGGAACGCAGCGGAGGAGGAGTGAGGAAGATTTGGGAAGATAGGTTTTAAAGCGTTGGGGCATCGAAAACAAAAACCCTAGATTAGGAAATTATATACTGCACCCGGTTCTATTAAAGTACTATAATGTTGGCCGTGCGATGAGATTAAAAGGATCGTGCTGGTCGTTCGATTAAATTAGTGCCACGTCAGCATGAGAAAAAAGGGTGTTTTTTGGGAATATAGAAGAAGTGAGGGGTGTTATTGAAAAGAAGAAAAACAGAGAAGCTCCCGTAGTGGAATGACTATTATGCCCTTCTTTGTTGTGATAAATAAGAGTTTCGATCTTGTTCTATTTGGATAAAAAGAAAAAAAAAAAAAAATCCAAAACTCCAAAACAGACCAGAAAAACCATTTTGGAAAGCATCAAAAAGCTGAGTCAGTGATGGTGCTAAATGATGCCTCTTGTAAATTGTAAACAAACAAGGTGACATTTTGGCAATAATATGTTATTTTTTCTTTAACTACATATGTTTTTTTTTTTGGTGCTAAATTTTCTGAATTTGTGCCCAAAAACTCATCTTTTGAGTTATGAATCAGTATATATCATTGTTTTTCTTGGTTATGCACATTGGGTAATGAAATTTGGTCACCCTTTAGCTTTAGTTGTATTCTACATGGTTAATGAGCTTGAGAATTATAGAGATTTAATATATTTGTAAACCATTATGGAATTTCATTTTTTTTTTCTTTGGGGTTCTTTTCTAACCCAATTTTGCTTTTGGGTATCTGGGGAATATATGGAAGATGTACCTTAGGTTAGTAATAGAATCATGAACAAGAAATTTGCCATTCTCTCTATCTAGTTCAAGAAATTCCTTGGTTAGTCTTGTGATGGCGTGTCTTGTATAAGAGAAAGAATGGTGTAACTAATTACAGTGTCCATGAAGGTAAAAAATCAGGTGTAGTTGGGGTGGCATGGTTCAAAGAGATTGCCGGAATTCCAGAAAACGCTGTGGATATTTGATTTGAGATTGATGAGTAGGAATGGCCGTTCTTCTTTCGGCAAATGCATGTTCTCTTTCGATGTGCAAAACGACGAGGAAAACTCTCATGTCCAAGAACGAGCGTGAGTAACAAATCACACTTGTTGAATTGAAAACAGGGTTAATCTCATTTTCGGTCCCGAATTTGAGAGTGAATCCCGTTTTGGTCCTTGACTTTATAGCTTTCCAAAAATCACTGTTACATGCGAATTTCATTTGTTTTTTAGCAGATTCTTGTTGAATGGGGACTTTAATGAGACAATTTTTTAAATCGAGGACTAAATGTGGGGCGTTTTTTGAATTTCAGGATTCGAAATGGGATTCACCCCTAAGTTCGAGGACAAAAATAGTCTTTCTTTTGATTAAGCTGCAACTTTTTCACCCTACAATTTTGGTGGTTGAAGGAAATTTTTGACCAAGAAATATATCTAACCTCATGTAGATTCAGCTTGGGTTAGCTGAAAAAGAAAACTGCTGAAAGTAACATATCACAAATGCAAACTATAGAATCTCATCATTTTCCTGATAGCCGGAATATACAATACAAAAGTTGCTTATGAGATACTCTCTTAATACTGATTTCCTCATTGGAACATCTTTTCTTTCTTGACAGTTCTTTTGCAACCTAACAGATAAAACTCAAAAGATATGTCATGTTGTACTACAATCTCAAGAAGCTTCATCAAGCCGGAGGGATACTTTAGTGCGTGGCGCTGCTTCGATCCTGACCATTATAACCTTCGACTATGGTTTAACGCCATCCCCGGCTTGGGCTGAAGACAAGTCAAGTGGCGGAGAAAAGGAAGAGGATGCAGGAGTTGTAGGGGCCATCAAATCGCTGTTTGACCCGAATGAAGAAACCAAGTCTGGGAAAGTCTTACCGAAGGCTTACTTGAAGTCCGCAAGAGACATGGTGAAGAATCTCCGCGAGTCGTTGAAGGAAGACCCCAAGGATATTGCTAAGTTTAGACGAACTGCGGATGCAGCAAAGGAATCAATTCGAGAATACTTGAGCAATTGGAGGGGGAAACAAACTGTCGCAAAAGAGGTACTTCTTGATGATCTTGCACACAACTCTAGAACCCCACCCTACTTTTACAAGTTTTTAGTTCTCTTTCACTTGGGACTTCCAGATTTTAGTTGATCAAAAACATGATTGTTATCTGCTGTTCATTTGCAGGAATCTTATGCTGTTCTTGAGAAAGCAATCAGATCGTTAGCTAGCTTTTACTCTAAGGCAGGCCCGTCGGCTGTCCTGCCGGAGGAAGTCAAGTCGGAAATATTGAATGATTTAGATACAGCTGAAGAATATTTGTAATGAATTCCGCGGCTAATATGTGTTTAAAATACCAAGAGGATCCAAAGGTCTTTTGAAGCACCTATTCATTTCTGTATCAAACTTTGTTGTGATCTCATAACCCATTTATTGATTTCTCGTGAAGCTAAGAATTATGGGACTTTGTGGGACTTTGTTTTTTTTCTTCTCATTTTCATTGTAGATAGACACTGTGAAGTAACAGAGAAGGGAAGCTTTAACAAAATTAGAGAAGAAAAAGAAAAATCGAAGAACATAGTAGCGATTGCAGAGTAAATAGTTAAATCATCTAATGCTTGGAAAAATTTACATTTTACAGATCACATTCTAAACAAAATAATTTAGTTCCGAGCAGTTATACAACACCGGGAACAAGATACTGGCTGAAGATTATGATATCCATACAACAGTTCTTGCAGGATCCTTGTACTGATTATTTGAGCAACCATCTTATGTTCTTATTATTGGAGAATTTCCAACTGGAACACTTCAACCAGGTGGTAGTGACTCTTGCCAACATGTCAAACCGAATCTTCACAATTTTGTGCTTCACAAAAATTAGGATAAAGGCTGTCCATCTCTACCACTGAGCTTAGGCATATACCCTTATCATGGAGATTATAAAAGTATCAAGAACGAGATAGAACGCCTTTCGAACTGCAAAGCACGAATGCAAACGAGTATTTAAGAATGTTTTTATAATTATTTTGAAGAAAAGTAAGGATGATGCAATTTCAGAGTGAAAACCTTGGCACGGTTCCCAGGCGACGTGGGTCGTACTCTGTTGCTTGTCGAAGAGCCCTGGCAAATGCTTTGAAGGTTGCCTCTATAATATGGTGAGAATTTTTTCCAGCAAGCTGCAAACAACCAAATATTTAAAATGAAAAAAAAAAAAAAACCAGCTTCCAACACATGATGTGATGGACATAAGTAATAGCTATAAACACTTGATGCAAAAGCAATAATTTAAATGCTCTTCAAAAGCCTGGAGTATTATTACCTGCCGAATGTGAAGCGTCATACCAGAAGTATTCACCAAGGACTGAAAAAAATGCTCCACCAACTACATAACGGCAAGTTGAAATTGGTCAGCGATGACTATTGAATCTCAATAAACAAAAGTTCAAATATGCTAAGAGAACAACAAACAAATGGTAAACAAAAAGGAAGAAATTTGGAGAATGGGGAGGTTCCAACAATGCTCTAGAGAAAGAGATTACCTGCGTATCGTACGTTCCAATTCTTTGAGTGGGGATTTGCAAGTCATAACCCAAATGTGGTCGACCAGATAAATCCTGAACCAAAAAATCTAATCAAACAATATTTATACTTTCACACAAATTGCTTACCAAATCATAGTCAGAAATGACGCCAAAAGTCCCTAGTTTAAGAAATCTGCCGATAAGGAAAATATAAAGCTATGCATCTTTGAAACAGAATTACAAGATTAAACAAATGAACAAAGCCAGACAAAAGCAGACTTTAATTACGAAGTCATTTCAAATAATCACCCAGGAGTGGTAGCGTTATACCAACTCAACTTCACCATCTCCTAATCCTCATCAGATAATATCAACAGATTATTAACATGTAAAGGAAGATCATACCAGTGAGACATGTATCAGTGCTTCATCAAGAGGAGCAGAGAAGTCACCGAACCGGTAAATTCCTTTCCTATCACCAAGTGCCTGAAGAAAAGCCTGCAGAAAATAAAAAGTTAACGTACTTACTTATATTAACCCAGGTACATTAAAGTAAAAAACATTTTCGGTACCGTTCCAATTGCAAGAGCAACATCTTCATTTGTGTGATGGTCATCAATGTGGATGTCACCAGTTGCCCTAACATGCACATCAAACAGCCCATGCGAAGCAAGTTGCTGAATAAAGCAGTAAACAGAGTTTAAGATACCCACACTCGGAAATTTGAAACTAAATTCAGAAGTAAATGTGATTCAATCTTTAATATGTATCAAGAAGTTGATGTTGGAGCTAAAAATGAACCCACAAAAATAAAGTTAAAAGAAAAAATAGACTTTTTGCTCTAAACCAAAATGGAACTAAGAATTTCTCCAAATGCCGATCAAATTCCGAATAAAAACAGCAACATCAGTCTACTTTCCAAAATTTTCAAACAAAGACAGCAAATTCAATAAACGAAAGAGCAAAATGAAATCAACAAAAAGAAAATTTACCGACACCCAACATACGACCAACGTCGTTTCTCTAAAAATATTTGCTCTAAACCAAAAAGGAACTAAATTTTCTCGAAACAATAAATAAGCTCGGACAAGGAACCATCAAAATCAATGTCGTTCTCAAAATTTCCTAAACTAAAGGAATGACATTTTACGCAATCAAAGAGCAAAAAGAGAAACACTAACATCCAACATATGATCGAGAAATGGAATTCCAGTGTCACTATCGGCAATCCCAGAACCGTCCAAGTTTATTTTCACCGAAACATTCGTCTCCTTCGTCACCCTCTTCACCTCCCCAATCCGATTCCCTAAGAAGAAAACAAATAAATAAAAAATAAATAACCAAATCGATTTGAAGAACTGAAATTGAGATTGAGATTGATGATAATACCCGAATCAAGCTTGGTAATGATGGAGCCATTATCGTCGACCAGAGAAGCTCGAGGGGCTATGGTTAAGCGAGAATCCATGGATTTGAGGTTGCGGAATCGGAAAGTGAAAAAAGGAGGAGTTATGGAGGAAACCCTAAGTGCGGATTTGAGAGGGAGAGAAGGCGACGGAGAGGTGGTGAGAAGACGAGAGGTTGCAGTCGCTGATAGCTCCATTACCGCTCTGGAGGTGGTGAGTGCGACCGCAAGTGTTGGAGAGAGTGAAGAACGTCCGGTCTTGTTTTTGGGCTTTGGAGGCCCATTAGTGTGCTAGCCTGACAAATTGGCCCATGTAGCTCACATCTTTTGGGCCCACTGGGCCTCGAATAATTGCAGTAGAGGGCAATTTTAAAAAGAGTAGTTATATTTACACTCTTATAGATACCTTAATAATTAATATTTTTACAATAAAGATATGAAAAATCTATTCTTTTATAGATAAAATTTTCATGATACTTAATTTAACCATCTCATATCTCCACTTAATTTTAATGTTGACTTATCGAAAATATAATTTTTTTCAACTGTAATGTTATATTTCTTTTTTAAGATTATTGTAATTTCTCAAATTACTTTTGTCCGTTTTACTTTTATCTATGAAAGTTGATTTTGAACCTTCTTTATGATAGTTTTTTGCAAATGTGATTCAAAAAAAAGAAAAGAGAAAAAATAGGGGAATGGACGGTAAAAGACAACCAAGAAACATAAAGACCTGTACATGATAACCAATATATATATATATATATTTTTTTTTTTTTTCTATCATACTTCCTGTTATTTTTGTTTCAATTGGAACTTATATTGAAATTTTCAAAGAATTTAATTGAGAAAATTTTAGAGTTTATGAAGATGAAAGTAGCTTTAACTAGAGATGTGGGATATGTTTTTTATTCCTTTAAAAAATATTTTCCAATTATAATTAATATGAGTGTATGCTCTTTTTTTTTTTTTAAAAATATTATTTCCATTTATAATCAATGTGGGTATGTTAATGGGTTTTAATGTAAGGTAAATTGTAACAAACATAATTTATAAATTGATGGGGGTATTAATGAATTTAATGGGCGCAAATATAATTACTCTTTTAAAAAATACCCCTTGAAATGGAGCTCTCTTTTATTTCTACCCTTAACATTAGTTGATATATTTATATCTTTTAGACTAGAAGTAGTTAAGGGGTAGAATTTTTTAAAAGAGATACTTTTAGTAAGTCATGTACTTAAGTAGATAGAATCTATAACTTTCTCAAATAAAAATAATGTTTTTGAAATGTTTTTTAAACGATAATTTTTTTTAAAAAAAAAATAGCATATCTACTAATAAATATTTATTTACAGCAATTAAGGAATTGAAAACAAAATCCTAGTCGTCTTTTGACAAAGAGGAATAAGAGAGAGAAAGGAAGCTTGAGTATAGACCGGAGTTCCAGCACCACCTCCAGGCGCGTCGCCAGACTCCCGGCCATGAAAATGGGTCCCCGAGCTTTTCTTTATTGGGGATTGTATCCTAAAAGCATGGGATGTAATTAATAAAAGAGTTTATTCATTATTTTATGTGCATATATTATTGAATATCTTATGAATATCACTGAAAATTCCATGATTATTTATATGACATTAAATATTGTATATAAGTGTTATATGCGAGAGAATAATATTTAAGGATAATAATCAAAACAACGTTCGTAATGAATTTAATTAAAGTTCAGATCTTTAATTAAAACATTACTAACACATGTCATTCTCATTTAAAATGGAATGGTGTTATCCGCACTGTTAATACGACGAGATATTGAATAAGTGGATTATGCATGATGAGATTATGTGGAACTGGGACACGGACACAATATGAATTTCTGATAATTTCCATTAAGTATAGAAATTCTAATTGAGTCTATCGATGATCATATATAACAATCTTAATCCCGAGTTATTAGCAGATCCTATTTATGAATTTGTGTATTTTGATTTACTCGGTACAGATTCTGAGATGTTGAATCCTATTCCTTGTATTTTAGAGACATGATGAAGTAAGTGGCCGGGAATGTTAATATATAAGATAGAATCCATTCCTTCTTGAGAAAGAAGTAGATAAATAATTCTCTTGAGTATTGATTCGGTACTTGGACTAATATGAGCTCCGATTCATGAATTTGTTTTATGAATCACTGTCCATTAGAGAATCAATGGTACTCAAGGATAAGGATATAATTAGAGAGGTTAACGGATTTCACCTGGCTCTTATTATGAATTATTTATGGATGATTGATCTATATATAATGACTATATCAAATGGACACTTTATAGTTTGGAAGTAAATTATATATATAATTACGAGAGTACAATTTCAAGTTAATAGTAGAGTAACTTTAGAATTAATTAATTAATTAAAAAAATTTAACTAGTTATTAATTTTATTGGAGCTCAGAATTATAGGTCCATGAGTTCCCGCGACGTCCTTGTAATTCTACAAGACACTAAAGGCAAAATGAAAATTTTAGAATTATGAAATTCTAAAATAAAACACTCAGAATTGATTAATTAAGAATTAATTAAATATTGAATAATGTGATTATTTAATTTGAATTTTAGAACACACATGTGATGGTGATCACAAGTGTCACACGCTCACTGTAGGAATCTCTATGGGATTCAGTTGCTTACTTTTTAAGTTATCCGTTTGAGACTTATTTGATAAGTTATCCTATTAGTATTCATATTAAATTAAGTTTGATTTTAATTAGAATTTGAATTTAAGTCAAAATTGGACAAGTGGGTAAAGGAGAAATTTATCTCCTCCTTATCTACAGTAGGAGCAAACCACATTGGGCTTATCCATGTGGTGGCTGAATTTTATCTACAGCAGGAGAGAAAAATTGTTCCAAAATTAAATGAGAATTTTATTTGATTTTATATAGGATTTAAAGTTATATATTATCTCTTATTTTCTGAAACCTTATCTTAAAAGATAAGATAGAGTTTCCCTAAGAGGTACTTTATAAATAGGATATTGCAGAAAATTGAAAAACACAAATTTTTCTCCTTTCCCTTATTTGATAGCATGTAACATGCTAGTTACGGGTGTGTAACATGCTAGTTACGGGTGTGTAACATTCTGTCAAACAACGTGTAACTTTTTCATTCCCTTCCCTACAGGTGGCGTACAACATGCCTAGTGTAGGCATGTAACACGCTGTTGGTTAGCGTGTAACCTACTAGAGGTAGGCGTGTAACCTGAGAGAAAAAGAGAAGAAAAGTTCTTCTAAATTCTCAGTTCCACGTCGTGCATATATTGGTGTTCGCGGATCCTATTTTGTTTAAGGTGTACCCACATATATGTCTTCGTAGATTCAAGGAGTTGACGAGGAAGATTCAAGTAGTCTAAACAAGTTTAGAGCAAGGAACGTTCGTGATCAAAGAACTCAAGTTATCGACCTAATTGTTCGCTAGGTACATTTATTCATAAATTAATTTGATTAATTTATTCGTGCATAAGTTAATGTATTCTATAGAGTATCTCAAAGGTTTATTAAAATTTTTGTTATACACAATCTACTAGATACAACTTTCGCATAGAAAATAGTTTTTAAAACCAACAGTCTTATTAAGAGCTCTTCAATAGTGGTGGTAGTGTGTGGTCGGGTGGATGGGGCGTTGTAATACGGATGTTTAGGAGGCATTTTTTGGCACCATCAATGTTGGGTTGCTAGGTCCTTATGGAGGTTTGATTCTGGTGGTGGGGGTGACAGGGGTGGTGCCGTCTCTGGAGGTTAGCAGTGGTGGTGAAGGTGAATCATTCGCTGCCTGATAAGTGCACATAAATACACTTAAAATACTGTTGATTTTTGAATAACTGTTAATTTATTTAAGCTTTAATTAAATAATTTTATGATTTTTATTTGAAATATTATAATTGGAATTGTCTAGTTTTTGTTTATTTAATCACATATTTAAAAGCAGTAGAAGAAGACAAATAAAAGTCACCAGCCAAGCCTTCTAGCCGAGCTACTGTCACGCCCCTAAACCAGGGTTAGTGACGTGGAGGCTTGTTTAGAAACTTAAACCTGTTTAAGAGAGTGATTAGCAAATAATGTTGCAAATATTATAATTTTTCTTTTTTTTTCAAATTCAAAACATCCAGGTATTTCCAAACAAGCCCCTGCATTCAAGAGAAATTTAATTTCAAGAACGGTGGTGGAATTTCCGACCAAATTAGTTTAAAACCACGTCCCTGGTATCATGTCAGGAATTCCCACAGGTGTTTTGCATACATAAATATAAACATGAGTAAATGTGACATCAACCATAGTCTAGTAATATTTAAGTTTACAATCCATAATCTTTTATACATGCCTTGAGATAAGGGATAAGAGGAAATACAACTCTTCACTTTTCTAAAACAAGTCCACGTCGCCGGTAGTAGCTACCTACTCCGCACTAATTTTGGCGTCGCTTGGAGGGGGTTTAATACATTTGAAAATAGGAAAAGGTGAGCGAAAGGCCCAATATGATATAATTTTATAAAGCATTTAAAATAAAGGTACTCACGGTCTGAAGATATACACCCGGAACCAGTCATCCCTTTTTAGAAAAGGAAATACTCACATAGTAGAAAATATCTGTATCATGAAAGTGTGCAGCTCATCATACCACTAAACAAGAAGCGGTAAAAATGTCTGTCTAATGAAAAGTGCAGAGCCATAATTCCACTAAACAAGAAGTGGATCCGTACGGGTTTCGGGACCTGCCCCCAAGGATGCGATCCCCACATCCCGATCTCCGAGGCCACCATGCATTGTATCATTCCTTAAAATATTTCATTTTAAGAATGATACGCTTTGAAATCTCATTTCCAAAATCATTGGAAAACTTAATAGCATTCTCATGCTATTCTTTTGAAATCATTTTCTTTAAACATGTTTTGTTCTAAAACATTTTCATGGGCCAAAATCATTTAAAGTGAGGCTAACAAGGATATGGACAAGAATATCCTACCTCTCGGATGTCAAACCTGGGCTAGTCTTCAGTTCTTCTAGCCTCCGCTTTCCTTAAAGCCTTAATACTTGACATTCTCCACTAGCTTTATCATAAAAGCAATATCTTAGGAAGTATTTCTCATTCCTAAAACGAATTAAGTTCAATCATGTTTAATTGTTTCCTATTAGTGTGTCTTGACTCAAATCCAAGTTTCACAATGATTTTATAATTCAGTTTGGGGGTTCTTTAAAAATTAGAATCCAATCCACAGGTTTGGTTTTCCTATTTAATTTCAGTTTAAAAATAAGTTTCTAAAGAAATTTCGGCAGCATGCCGGCACAAATAGGAAAAATGTCAAACCTGCAATTCAAGTTCAATTTCAATATATATTCTCCAGAATCTATCAAAATCAGTTTCTAATCAATTAAACAAGTCCAATAACTAAAAACCCCTAAATTTCATTCAATTCCAACAATAACTGTTCAAACTCAAACCCTAACTCAAACCAAAATCAAACTTTTTCAAGCTTAAAATTTGAATCAAAGAGTGGGTTTCAAAGGGTTTTACCTCAAATCAGTTGTTCTAGCTTTGTCTCCCTCAATTTCTCTGTTTTTTATTTTTTTTTCTTTGGTGGTTCTCGGCCAAACTGCCGAGAGAGAGAGAGAGAGAGGGAGAGAGAAATCCGGAGAGAGAGCAAGGGAGAGGGAGAGGACACCGGCGGGAGGAAGCCTGGAGAAGGAGGTGGTTGGCGGTGGAAGAAAATGGAGAGAGAGAGAGAGAGCTGGGAAGGGAGGGGAGAGGGAGGGGGGGGGGGGGGGCTGGGCGCTGGAAGAACCAGAGAAGAAGAAGAAGAAGAAAAAAAAAGAAAAAGAAGGAGTGGGCTGGGCGCACGGGAAGGGAAAGGGGAAAAGAAAAAAAAGAAAAGAAAAAAGAAAAAGAAAAAGAAAAGAAAAGGAAAAAGAAAAATGGAAAAAAAGGAAAATGTATTAAAATTTAAGTGTGTTTTCTAAAAATTTTTGAGGTGAAATTATAAATACTGAAAATAACTTAAAGTCCATTGATTAATTATGAAAATCAAATTAGGCACACTAATAATCTATAATTTAACATAATTAAACATGTTTAATTCTAGAGGGCGTTATAGCTACATAAGTAGATAAGACAAAGAGAAAGAGCCGAGCCAAGATGAGCCAGCCAAGCCGCATCAGCGCCGTGGGCCCCACCACGTCAGCTCCTCCAGCATGCGTACACACACATCTTCAACACGACCCTATGGAAGTAGGCGCGTCCTCAGCACTCCGCAGCCAAGCGCATCTCAGCTCTCCTTCGTGTGGGTCCCACGTCTGCTCAACGCCAGCCTGTTCGCCCATTCCTCGCACGCCACTTCACCCAAGTGGACCCTGCTTGTCCCCCAGCTCAGTCCAGCACCTGCCATCTGCCTAATCCGCGTGCACCAGCTATCCTATGCGGCCCCAACTGTAGGCCATTGCTCTTCACCAGCATGCTCTCCACTCCGCATATGACACATGGCAATGCAACTCTTTTTCCCTAATCCACGTGTGGCATGTGGCAATTCCGGTACAGCTTGTCTACATCCCTCTATTCATATCCATTTCTCAATCATAGCCAATTAGTTGATTTCTCCTCAAATCACATATATGATTTTCCCCATTTATTTATAATTTTATTTTGTTTCTCTTTATTTTATAATTTTCCATCTTTGTTATTTGTTTCCTTAATTACTTAGTAGCTCTTAAACACTATAAATAGAGGGGCTAGTCTATGATTTAGGAGTTTAATTAATTACTTAGTAGCTCTTAAACACTATAAATAGAGGGGCTAGTCTATGGTTTAGGAGTTCAGTTTTTTCATTCAGTTTTCTGTTGTCTTACTGTCATTCTCATATTTTCTCTCTAGAACTTGTGAAAATATTTTACAAGTTAGGCTAGAGTTCTTTTAGTGAGGTTAGAGATGAGCTATTGTTGAGTGACCCAATTCGAGTTTTGATTCCTTGGGCTATAATGTTTAATAATCGAATTAATTAAATCTTATCTATCTTTCGTTTATTTTTCAAAATATTATGTGCCAACTTTTATATAAGTTTAATCGTGTTTTTCTTATGTAATTCTGTCATGACTATTTTGTTATTTGAATTATTTTACGAGTTATCTTTTATTGCAATATTGTCAAGTTGATATATTATCGATTTTAGATAACTTGTAATAATAATATTTTCAGAATCAACATAAAGATTTAATTTATTCGATACTTTTATTTTGTAAATCAAAACCTAAATTGATGAACAAAACATAAGGGATTATCGACACCTTACCCTTTTTACTATTGAATTTTCTTCACACAAATTTCCTCTCTTTTCTTTACTTTATTTGTAACAAAATGATAACAATAGTCTTTCTCGTTACTTAATTTTAATTTATTCTCATCTAACGTCTTATTCTGCTAATCTTTCTCGTGTGTTTTATTGCCTATATGTGGATACGACCGCCGTTCTGTACTACAATTAACCGCTTGTGAATAACAGTTTTGGGCGTTAATCACTGCCGTTTGATGGTCTCTTTCTGATGGCTTCGTTGCTCGGCTCTCAAAGCTTTCTTCCTTCCCTCGTGGTCCTCTCACCGGTTGCGTCGTCGTCAAAGGCTTGCGCCAACGATGTTTTGGGTTTTCCTTTTGCTTTACTTTGTGTTTTGGATTGTAATAAAGGTGTGGCGATGTTGTTCTTGTCACTTTTTATTTGTTGTTTTATAATAACAGAAGTGGTTTCTCTATCGTCCGGTGTTGGTTATGTCTCCCACCCGGTTGAGTTGTTCACCCACAGTGTGAATTATTTGGTCAAGTTAGAATCTTATCTGTGTTGTGATGCTGATGTCCCCTCTAAGTGGGGGTTGGTGTTCTGTCCCTTAAGCGTTCGGAAGCTTATTTAGATGGGAGGAGTTTTTTCAAATAGAGCTCTAAATGTGCTCAATCTTAATGTGTCGAGGTTATCTCCCGTTCTCGAGCCTCAAGTGTACGTCCATCTCTTTGTCGGGTTAGGTTTTTAGTGCACTGCTTGTTTATCTGTTTCTATTTGAATACAAGTTTTCCTTTAAAAAACAAATAAACCTAGCATAAATAATTTATTTAATGGTAAATACTCGGCCTCTTAGCCTAATAAATTGGACCATGTAATGCCGATTCTTTAAGCGATTTCGAAGAATATATATATTTTTTACTTTGGAATTTCTTTTATACTTTGAACTTTAATTTGGGAATTTGAACTCTTGAGAATCTCCAGGCAGGGTCGTGCTTATACTCTTGTCAAACTTTGCATGGCTCAACGCTTAAATCTAGCACCGCTCATGCAATTGAATTGTGCTTAGCATGATCCATGAATAAACATGTTGGGGACGCTCTTATAAGAGCTTTATTTGTAAGTTGAGCAGCCCTATTTATTCCGATAAAAATTTATATCTATTAGACATTAAAGTGAACCCACTTGCGAGGTCCACACAAATCCCACTATACAGATCCACCTTTTTGTATGTATGGGATAAATCTCCTTTGGACAAAAAAAAAAAAAAAAAAACCTTGTAAGTTTCACCTTTTCTCTCTAAGACGTCAACTTTAGCTTTTTTTTTTTTTTTTTTTTTTTTTTTTTTTTTTTTTTTTTTTTTTTTTTTTTTTTTTTTTTTTTTGTTGTTGTGGGAAAGGAAAAAGAAAAAAAAAAAAAAGAAACTCTCTTTTCTTTTTCTACCGTTAAATCCTCAACTAGTCCCAAAAAATAAAAAAATAAAAAAATAAAAAAAATAAAACAAACACACACACAACTTTTCAATCGTATTAATAGGATCACATCATACCACTTGAAACAATTACAAGCCAGTATAGCCTTTCCATAAATTCAGTTTGTAAATTTAATTGAATGGTTTTCAGAGCGTTCGTCCGCTTTGCTGGAAAATAATTAAAAAAATAAGAAAAAAATAAGAAACAGATCATCTATGGCCTTTTCATTCCACAACATGGAAAAGAAAAAAGGAAAGTTGAATCAAGTATAATATATATGGCTATTGGTGTTAAAATAAACAATTCCTCGGTCACAGTAGAATATAAAAGAGAGGTTAAATGACCAAACCTTGACGATCTAAAAATTGAGAGAAATAGCCATATACATCGGAATGCTCATATCTAGCAAGACACATGACTCTCACTGTCCAATAAAAGTCTACAGATGTGAAAAACACCTGCAGAAATCTAATTCAAAATAATGCATTAAATATGATTAAAACTTACCCATGAACAAAAATTAACCCCCAATCTCAAAATTTCCGAAACCTGACCCGTGCTCAAGACATCAACTCTGCAGAATCCTGAACGCAGCCAAATTCTCCGGAATTAGGTACTTGACATACCATGAAGAGAATCAGCTTGTTGCTTCCATTAAAGTGTGGTAACCGAATTTGGTCTTCGTGATCATTCTCCACAGCTGCTAAGGATAAAAGTTATGATTACCTCTAAAGCCTGCTAAAATCGATTATACTGCAACCACTTGAAGTGCAGGTGACAAGCAGAATCACTTGAAGTCGGTGCGAGCAGACATTAAAGAGAAACTTCCACCTTTGACAACCGGCAGATTCAGAGACACAGAAAGGCACATGAAAGATTAGCTCCCGTGTTTTAGGTTTGCATCCACAGGACCATGGCTGCGACTTCATCCTCTGCTTAATAGTACATTGCACTGTGCTACAGGTGTTGGAAGTGCATTTTGCAATTCCACAGAACTCACCGAGTACCTTAAACGTGAAATTTAGCCAGGACTGGAAGATTTTTCCATAGTCAATACCGTTTATTCATACAACTAGAATTGAGCATTAAATGTTACTCCAAGACCCTGAAAACTGTGAAAGAATGAAAACCTCCTATTATGAGATATCACCTGCACTGGCAAGCAGTTCGGAAAAGATGGCATATACATATCTATGGAACCAGATTTAGATTCTCTTTCAAGTTCGTTAGCTCTGTAAGACTGTAACAATCACTAACTGCAGTGAAAAATACTTTACTCACAATTCATCGAATCAGAAGCCACATGTGGGTTTTCTCCAAAATCCAAATCAGATTTAACTGGCAAGGAACTTCCAGTATGACCACTGGAACTAGATGCTGAGACGTCTGTTGTTTCCATCACTTCCTCAGATATCTGATCTGCAAAAGTTTTCCCTGCAGAAGCAGGTACAGAACAGGCATTTTCGAACTTCATTTTGTGGGAATTATCCATTACATCATCTTTTAAAGAATCTGTATTCTCTTTCACAGAATTGAAAACTTGATTATGTTCCACATGTAGCCCACCACCATCAGGTGGAGAGAGGCTTTCACTTCCAGAAACACATTTTCCCTCACGCTGAGTTTCAGAAAACATAGTCCCGTCCCGTGGAACTTGAGTTTTAAGCTCATGAGAAGCTTCAACGGAACTGCTCAATAAGGAAGTTTCTTTTGTAAAAGCACCCCGGCATTGAATAAAAGACTTGGAGTTATCTTCGAGCAGAGGATCTGGCACCAATTTATTTTCTATTGCTGCAGCATCATGACTCGTTTTAGATGGGGAAAGACTTTTAATTCTAGAAATTATGGGCCCAGAAGGAGATTCAGAACATGTCGTTCCATCTGGATTCTCAAGTTCAAGAGAAACATTCACTGAAACACTCATCATCACAGTATCATTGGACTCCAATTCTACAGAAGGATTGGACTCTGATTCTACAGCAGCAACTTCATCTGTTGTCTCATTAGCATGATCCACACTTTTGGTACTAGATTCTATTGCAGCAATTTCCTCTGTTGTCTCATTGGCATGATCCACACTTTTGGTACTAGATTCAATAGCAACAACTTCCTCTGTTGTTCCATTGGCAAGATCCACACTCTTCGGACTAGATTCCATGGCAGCTCCTTCCTCCATTGTTTCATTGCCAAGATCCACACCCTTCGGACTAGATTCTATGGCAGCTCCTTCCTCCATCGTATCGACATGATCCACACCTCTGGGACTCGATTCTACAGCAGCTACTTCCTCCACTGTCTCATTGGCATGATCTGTACACTTGGAACCAGATTCTACTTGAGCAACTTCCTCCATTGTCTCATCGGCATGATCCTCGGTTTTGGGACTAGATTCTACGGCAGCTAATTCCTCCATTGTCTCATTTGCATGATCCACACTTTTGGGACTAGATTCTGCAGCAGCTACTTCCTCTGTTCTCTCATTGGCACGATCTGCACGCCTGGAACCAGATTGTACTTGAGCAACTTCCTCCGTTGCCTCATTCCTAGTTGAGGAATCAATATCTGGTTTAAGTGGCACCTCTGGCTTAATACATTGCTTGCCTTTGCCTTCCGTTTGCTTCGTACATACTAAAAAGGGAAAAGCGTGCCAGAAAAAGAAAGCAAAGTTAATAAACAGATGAATAAACATGTGGTAATTGGAAAGTCAATAGACAATTAGATTTGAACCTCCGCTGGAAGTCATGTTAGCCTCATGTTCTTGCTCCCCCAGGATCTTCTGTAGCATGTCTATCCCAGGGAACACCAACATATTCATAGACCTCATTTCTTGTTTTAGCGTTTCCTCAAGAGGAGTAAAACCAAAAACTGTTGTCCACGTGTGCGCAAGTTCAGAAATTGCAGGGATTACCAATTTCTCAACCTTGAGAGAACAGAGAGCCTTAAAACATAGGAGTAAAAAACACAATCAGAGACACAAAAGAAAAGGAAGCAAGTAAAACCCAGTTTGAGAGAACAAAAACAAACCCCCTTTGTTTTGTTTTTGTTTGTTTTTTTCTTTTTTATTTTTAAAAAAGAAAAGAGGAAGACGTTCTAATAACTTACTGATTCAATGGCACAGAAAAGCCGACGGCACATCCCTTGACGCCTATATATATTGCGAGTTCCAATGAATGGCATCTCAGCTAACTTAGTCCCATGGAACCTAACCAGACAAGAAATCACGAGTGTAACTTCCAAATTTCCTCATTCACACAATGAAAGAATAAAGGATCTATGGGACCGAAAGAACAGGATCTACTAGTTCACAGAACCCAAGCAGATGGTGAAAATCCTACATAAGAATTTTTTTTCCTAAAAAAACTTTAATTAAAAAGATAAAAATAAATACAATAAAAGGAGGACAGGGAGTCAAGACTCAAGAGGGAAAATGAAAAATACAAAAGAACTCTCATCCCTCAATAGCTCTGAGAATAATTCTAAAAATAAGCCAAGCTAAGGGTAAATTTCTAGAAACGCGTTTAAAGCCTTCAACAATACAATTGAACAGCATAAAAAAACCTGCTCAAAGAGAATGTAAGCTACCAGACGAGCTAATTTATGCAGTAATATCAGTTTAATCATAGTACCTGAGAGATGCAGCAGAGATTAGTTCATCACCCCGCTCCAAAATAGCAGTACAGAAGCCACCATAATTCAATCTATTGAAGTTCGATCTGTAATGCCAACAAAATAATTACAACAATAATAAATTAAATACTGGTTAACAATAAATAAAATGGATGCCGGTTAGTGAGATAATTTTATGGGGACTTTAAGATAGTATGTACCAAATAAACCATAAAATCAAAATTGAAATTCCAATGTACAATAACAAATCAGAAAATTGTATTTCGACTAAATATAATACATCTACCATAAGCAATCTCATGGTTATTATCTATTTAAAAAATGAAAAGATGATGACACGGTGGAAACTCATAGCTTCTCAGTTGCCAGCAAAATTGATACTGTGTTAGTGAGATTTAAAGTAGCACTTACCCACAATTGTATAGAACATTACGAATTAAATTGATCCCACTCCTCCTATCAACAATGGGCAAGAAACATTCATCCATAACAGTCATAGCAACAGCAAGCTTTGAATTGCATTCTACACGTTGGGGAACCCCACGATGAGAGATCTCAGTCTCTTCATCTGTTCTACGAATAAGAGACCATGAAAACCCAGCTTCCAGATCATGTTTTATACCAATATACTTCTGCAAATGCTCAAAGAGCTATAAAAGAAAGGAATCTACACTCAGAATCATCTCTTAAAAGATAAATAAACAAAATTCGCCAGAGAAATTTACATAGAAAGGTAAAATACACATAGAAGCAAAACACCAGCATGTATGCATGCTTTTCTTGTCTGACTACCTTAACGGCATAAAGCATTTTCAGTATAATAATGTAGCAGTAATAACTTGCAACCTTTTATCGTTGAGATGGGATTTTACATTACCAAAAAAAAAATAATAATAATAAACCCAAGGCCCATCCCCCAGCAAACACGCTAGAACGTGGTCCCATATCCTACGTATCTACTCCCTGATTATAAATTGCACCGGGATTGTTTAAATACCATATATAAATAGACACATGCATATACGCAAACAAGGGTGTTATACACAACTAAGTATATGCAAATATGTCCGTAAAGACACGAATAGATGCATCTAGTGAGTATCCATTTATAAATACTTGATATGATCTTTCGATTTTGAGAAGGAAAAAAAAAAAAAAAGAGGATAAACACAACAAAATGCTAGAAAACCTAATTAGATGTACCTCTTTGCATTTCTGCCCACAAAAAGAAGAGTCTATGATACTGGAATCAACAGAATTGACATCGATATCTTGAACACATGAATTGTGATCTGTGTAATCAAACCAAGTGTAAAGAAGAAAATGAGAAAGCGGAAAATAAACAGATGCAAACAAGAAACGTTCAAAGCAAAACAAGCAAAAGATGACTACATTTTTTTTCACAGAGACTGCAAGTAAGTAATGTAGAATCAATTGTATCGTCCTCTTCAGCAGCATTTTGACTAGCAATCCCGCAAAATTTGCAAGTGCAATTTGGACAATGCCAATCTCCAGGGGGAAGCATCTGCAATGAGAACAGAAAGTTAGTGCACCGTGACAATGTATACATACCTCAAACAAAAACAGCAAGCAACGTTTTACAGACCACAAGACAAACATGAAACTTAATAACTTGCAAAACAAATATCAGAAATACAGATTAATCTGCAATAGTACCTGTATATCCAAGCAGCTCTGGTGAAATGTTGATGGACAACCATCACAGCAGATCAAATCCCCACCATCTCCACAGATACCACAAGTATCATCATTTGGATCATCACCATCAGTGTCTACAGAGTGGTAACCAATATGTTCTGAATCCCCTTGTCTATTCCATGCATCTATCTGGCACTGCAAAAGGGAAATCCCTGAATCCAAAAATATATTTTGATATGGCTGACGCAGTTTGCTTCCAGCATGAATCTCAAACTTTGAGATGGTGAGTATTTTACTACAGCAACCACAATGAATGCCATCTCTTGTAATCCAACCCTCCAGCATTACTTTCGTCCTTCGGCGATTCTTGTACTGCACTTTTTGGCTCAACTGCACAGTTCCTGAGTCAATCAGCCAGGAAAGCAGTGTCCTTTTTCCAGTATATGGAACAAAGCCATCAGTTTCTGAATTAAGCCCCTTGCCAGAACTACGAACCAACAAAGTACATCGTCCATCTTTTCTACTTTTTCTTCCATGTAGCATACGAGGATTGGATCCAGAGGCCGATCTTTCACCACTATCATGCAAATGCTGGGTATAGTTTCGACCGTTTGAGTTCACACTCGCAAAGCCATTTTCGTTTGTTCTACCCTTGAATGACTTGCCACCCTGCTTCATGAAAGTGCTTAGTTTATCATCATGACTATCGCTGTCCATGCTTTCTGAATCATGCTTAGCACTTGTAGATCTTTTCCCACGAATTTCTCTTGCATTCTCGCTCTCACTTCTATCTCTTTGCTTTCTTTTCATTTCCTTCTCCATCTTCTTTCTAGTTTTTCTTGTTAATTGACTAAGGTCCTCGTCAGCAATAAGTCTAGCTGCTGACCCATCCACACTAGGTTTAACCTCGTTTTCCTCATCATTTACTTGCTTTTGAAGTGCGTCGTAGGCCTTGATAATGGACCAGTAAGCTGTTCCTGATGGGTTGATGTATACTGCGTCTAGGTAGTCTCGGTTCCTTCTTGGCCGATAATCGATCTTCCAGCCTGCATCCACAAGCATCCCCCTTATCCGTTCACGAAGCTTTTGCTTCTCTGTGCCACTGCCACGTCTAAGTTTCCCCTCTTTAATGCTATTTGGTTGGAGCTTTTCACATGAAGGAGGATCTTCAGCTTCACAACTTATCCTCTTCGAAGATTTATTAGCTGCTACATTCTCCGCTTCCCGCTGCAAAGATGCATCACTATCCTCTGAGTCGCAATTGGAGTTCTTGCTGGTTTTTGTAGGCAATGATTTCCGAGAACTCTTATGCTTCTTTTCTGACCTAGCAACTGAACCTGGCTTCTCAAGAATATTTTCTTCCAAGTAGAAAGGAGGAACTGGAGCATTTTTCTTGGCAGTATCTTCCATTCTTGAAACCTTTTGGCATTCCTCAGGTTTGAGAAAATTATACCTTTCTGGTGGCCCACTCATACACTTTTTCTTGTTCACCATCACCTTCAAAACACCATTTTTCCCTTGAAGCCTAATGGCTTGATCTGAATGACCTGTGAACTTATCTCTCAATAAGGAGACCTGGGCTCCCTCCCTATTGATCTCAAACCTGCTCTTACCTGTATGGCTTCCCCGGTTCATGCTGTTCATTCTTTCAAAATATAAATTCCTTCTATTGTCCACCAGATGTCTGCTCGATCCAGTTTCAAATTCCCTCTCAGCACCACTCCGAGCCATGTGCATTGATCCCGAAAACCTTATTCCCCCAAAACCAACGCCGCTTTCATCATACTCGTTAAAGTCAAATACATCCAACTTACCTATCTTTCTTTCACTCTCATCTAAACCATTATTACCAAAGAAACCATCCTCATTATGCCGATTCTGCTCCAACCTTTCTCTCTTCCTACCGATTTCGTTCTCTTCCACAACACCCTTTCCAAAAGAGCTTAAATCATTGCATACCCGAATGGTTTCCGGACCTACTCTTCTTCGATGGGGGATCAATAGCTCATCGCTAGACCCTGAGTCGCTACAAATCAATCTCCCTCTCTTCTTCTCCTTCTTCGCTTCGGAAACTTTCCGAGAACTCGAAGAAACAAGTCCACCGGCTAAGGCATCTCCTTTCCTTCTCACAATCAAACAACCTGACGAGTTCCTATTCTTCACCACAATCCCCGAAGACCCTCCGGATCTCACACCTTCCTCCATCTACATAAACCACAGGCAAATAGAAACAAAAATCCCCCAATGTTTCAAAACTACCCTTCCATTACCCAAAATTCGACAATCGAATTCCACCGGCAAACCCTAATTCCTCAGAGAAATCCGAATCTACCAGATCTGAACCTTAAATCTCCCCAGAGCTTAAAAAAAAATCGAATTGCACAAAAGAAAAACCAATCGGCGACTACGATTAAAACGGCTAAGGAAGATTTCAAAAATCTTACCTCGCCGTGAACCTCCGCGATTCCGTCACCGGCAATTCGCCGCTCCGATTGCTCCGATCGCGACGGAAGATTTTCCGGCGAGCAAAGCCAATTGAAGATTTTAGAGAGAGAAAGAGAAGAAGAAGAGGAAAGAGGAAGGAGGACAAGAAGAAAGAGGAAAACTTTGTTGGGTTGTGACTTGTGGGCGTTGCGAAGGGCACTTTCCCCTTGTAAATACCAAAACGCAAAAACAGTATTTATAATTTCTTTTTTTCAATTTTTTATTTTGTCTCCTAAATTTCCGTCTTATTTTCTTTTTCCCACTTAATTTTATTTCTTTATTTTATTTTATTTTATTTATTTTACGCCTCTGGGATTTTCCCTCCAAATCTCGCTTTACGGAGATATCTTGATCCATTGAACGGATCAGATCTCCCCAAGTCAGATGGGTCCCACATCCCTGATTTACTGGACCTACGTGGCGAGATCCTAGGGGGAGAAATGAGGAGGGTTGCCGTTTTTTACCGTTTGAGATCGGATTGTTCTTTTTTTTTTTTGAAATTAGATAGTATATAGAGTTAGATAGAAAGAAGAAAGAAAGAAGAAGAGAAGATTCTCAGACCTAGGATTAAACGAGGAATGTGGATACACGCGCGGAAAATGGCGGGTGGGGGAAAACCACCGGACAAAAGGGTATCTGGTGTGGATTTGAAAAAAGGCCAAAAAAAAAAAGGATGTGAAGTTGTTAAAGTGAATGGGCTTGTTCCCCATGATGAGCTCAATTCCCTGAGCGACTGGGCCTGCTTTGCAGATATGGCAATAACTAGATAGGCTTTTCAGTGTCTGGTTAATTGTTTTATTTTTATTTTTTTTTAATCTTTACTGTTAAAAAAATTAAAAAGCTATTCTTTTCACTCTTTTTATCCTGTCTAAATTATGGGCCCGTTCACTTCATGTATCCCACTTGAATAAGCTCAATTTGAGTTGAATTTTTGACTGAGTTTTACGTTCATCAAACAAAACTCGAGTAATAACTCTGATTTCAGAGTTTGGCACAACGGTTGTTTTCCCATTACTGCAGTGTGCTTCTACAGTGTTTCCTTGTGCTTGAACAGTGAGATTCCTCTGGCTTTCTTCCCGTTGCTGCCTTGTTCCTGCCTCCCCAGTGCAGATTTCTCACCGCTTTCTGCCCGCTGGACCCTCGTTTCTTCCTTCCTCCTCTGATGGCACTCTAAACAAAGCGATTTCCTGCAGATTTTGGAGTGAAAAACGATTCTCTCCAGGCGGGGTCGGTTGCTCGAATCGATTGTTTTTTGTGTCGATCCGCAGCGAAAACTAGGTAACCTCTCCCCTATTTTCACCATTTTTGCTTCGATTCCTTGTTGCATGCCCAACCCTAGAAGTGTTCCCCGTCCGTGCCCTTGAATCTTCATCACGGATACCATTCATCCGCCTCGCGGCAATCGGCAAACTCCGTTGGCCGTTTTATTGCATCGATGTAGAGCCAAACGGCCCCATCTCGCATCTACTGGTTATCTTCCTTTGCGACGTTACTGTCGGCTGTTCCTGTGTCAATCCGTCGTACGAAGTGCCTCACGCTAGCGTTTGGGGGTTGTAATAAACGATAAACAGTTGTCCTCAACTGGTTCCAACCGGGTATGCTCTTTCATTTCTACTAATCTCTATAAACCATTACTGTCTCTGGATTTGTCGTGGTTGCACTGTACTTCTTCTTCGTTTTGACTGGTGATAAGTGCACGAATTTGCACTTTTAATGTTCATAATTGTCAAACTATTTTATCAATTTTGTGATTTTAATTTTAAATATTCCTAAATTAAGAGGATTTAATTTTAATTGGATTTATTTTATTTTTCAGGTTTTTGAAGAAAACAATTGAATTTGGGCTAGTTTACCAAGCAAAACCCAAAAGTTGAGCCCAAGAAAAGCCCAATTCGGCCCAA